ATACTTACAATATCAGTCCGGAAATAGTTTACTTTGATATTTACACTTAATTATCTCAGCGGAATTCCCAAATCATAACTGTGCAGCTTACCAAGCAGGAAAGTACCTTGAATTCAATTCAGCAATAATGGATGAAGAAGCTTTAGACCATTTGGCTTCTTCAAATATTTCGCCACAGGATGAATTATTTGTAAAGCGTTTCAGATTGTGTTGTGGGCATGTACGTGGTTTATTGGTGTATACGTGATGAATGTTTGTGGGAGTCCTACAAAACAGCACGTACACGCTTGTTCATATACTTAGTGCAGACATTGAGAATCCTTCCACAACAAACCCACCTTAGCTCCGATCTGGTTGCCGCACTGGCCAGCTTGCATGTGGACGATCTCACGCATGTTGAATGTTGGAAGAAGGAGGGAGACGGTATAAAGTTGTGTGTTGGAAATGTCCTTTCACTTATTTGAGCAAATGTTGACTTGATCCTTGACAGAACAAGACTTTGACTTATATAGGTTCTGCCTAATGTGTTGCATGCGTTGTCTGGCAACAAGGCTCACATCTTACTGCAGATTAGCGAATCGTTAATGCTAATCCCCACCAACAGCTTGAGATAATCTACTATCGTTGGATCATAGGTTTTCGGACGTCATACGTTTTCGGACAGCCATGTTTATCGCGATTACTCGCTCTATAACGTGGGGGTGTAGCATCACACAGAAATTGTAAATACTCAGATGATGGCTTGTTTCAAGAGAAAGTTGTCTTTTATGTGCGAATGAGATGCTTTACATTTTTTCATGTGATTAGAGAGAAAAACTACGACAGTTTCTTAGGCGTCCGAAAATTAGTCAGATGAAATAGCCAAGCCAATGCTACTTCAACACCAGTTTGTGCAACATAAAATAATAATAATAATAATAATAATAATAATAATAATTCATGATTGCCTACATTACACTAACATAATTTGTTTGTTTTTGTGCATTGAAACGTACATCGTTAGCTCGGATGTCTTTAACAGGATATGTCGTCTAAGGCGATATATTAGTGAGATCACAGCAGAATGCAGCATTATGATCTCATATCCCGCGCCCTGATTGACTCAAACATCAACTAATCCACATAATGTCAATAGTCCCGATTACGTTGGGGCAATGAGGTTTAAATGCTTACCATTGTGTTCCAAACCTACGAGGCATTAAAAGCTACTAATTCCTGCGATGTCGTTAGATATTTAAAGCACAGTCAACTCTCATTAAAGGGACTTAAACTTTAAGTGGATTCTGAACACCTGATTCATTCGTCAATTGTTGAAACCTGATAAATGGAGTTGTTTATGCAGTATTAGCAACAAGACACATTATAGTGACCCACTGGGTTCGTTTGCATGGACAATTTGGCCGTTAAACTTGAACGGATATTGCTGTATAAACAATGTGTTGACAGATCGCTACTCACTAGATGCCAGTGACGAGCTTATCAAGACAAACGTGTGACTTGTGTTTGTCGTAGGTGTCGACCTATATGTAGGCCATGGATTGTTATGAGCTAGTTTACGGTCTTTCTTCTCAACCCTTTGTTCAATGGTCGAACCAAAAATAAATTTAATATCTTCAATATTTTGGGTTAGAATGAAGGGTCGATAGAACGAACAAACAATTCAAATTCACTATTTGCCTTTTGGCTTTTTTTGTAAAATGTAAAGGGATTGGTATACAAGAATCAATATCAATAAGTGAAGTATTTTTGAAGGTTTATTTGTTTGTTCGTTTGCCGCACTCGGCATTATTCCATTAATATGACAGCGGTCTGTGAATAATCGAGTCTTCCCAGGCCAATCCAGTGACTGACATTATGAGCATCTTTCGACAAGCATATGGGTGTTGGAGACCGATTATATAATACTAATTATATGTGTTGTATTTAACATCGGTTTGTAACGAAGGAACACTTTAGACACATGCAGCCACTTTCACATTTATGTTGTATTGAGACGCCATGTCTGGATCTAACGAAGACGTCTAAAAGGTCTTTGTTACCTCCCAAATTCATCATACGGAGGAACGATAAGCGTATTGCTATTCCTTTTGGGATTAGAATTGAGTTGACGAAGGCAGACTATTCGCCATATCCGACTTTGTTATATCTGGAGTTGGTAATGACTATGTACACACGTGTTAAGTTAGTAAATTGTACACAAATACACGCGTTATACACTGGCGTCTACTACAGGTAAAGAGATGTTTTGTTTTTGTTGCATGTCAATAACTGAGTCTGGATAAGGTAAATCAGGGATGGCTGTTTTGACCATCGTGCCACGCTGAAATTAGCCACAATACCGAGTCTTGTGATATCACCTGAGCCATATCACCCGATCCATTAAGTCCCTTCTTACGACCAGTATCCATACTCATGTACGTTATTTGGGATCTGTTCTCATACAGAATCCACACGGGGACGTTTTCACATTTTGCTGTAAATCCATCGAATAGAATTTCATACATTGATTTACAAAATACATAAACACGATCTCATACTTTTGTTTAATGTCTGTTTTCAGGTATCGACATTTCACTTTTGACAAAAAAAATGTAATTATTATTGAATCTTTCAATGATTATTTCACCCAAACAAATCGCTTTAGTAGCTATAGCTTATACATGCTACATGTTTATCGAGAACCGATTACGTTTTGTATTATAAAATGCGCTACCTTACTTGAGCTAAACAACAATATGTTTCATATGTACATCAAATAATTGTCTATAGGATGTTTCGAAAATGGTTTCGATTATAAGCGTATTTAGAGGTTTGCAAATAGGTATTTTGTTTGTTGAGCAATATAGGTAATACTATTCATTTCTTGGAAATACAATATTGTTCAAACTACACTTATAAACAAACAGTCTCTTGCTTCAGACTGATCTTGAGACCGAAGTACGATGTAAAGTTATGAAAACGACATGTTTCTACTCGGCGTTACGGTCTGATATCTTAGATCTGTTTATCTCGAACTTTGAATAACTCGATAATGTTCAGGACGACCGGAGACGGCTCTGGACGCCCTGAAAGGACCTATTAGTTTCATGCCAAAAAATATTGGATAGATATAGTTAAAGTTAATTTTGTTTTGACACACACACATGCATTGTACTTGAACCTCTGGTGTGTCAGACTGTTGTGGGGGAAAATATTGGTTTTAATCTCATGGGCACGAAAGTAGTGCTGATAGACAAGCGTCATAATAGGAGTAAATCTAGAGTTTGAACAGATGATAAATGACAGCGGATCCTGCAACCATTAAGGGGGGCAACTATGTGAACTGCATTGCCTTAGACTAGTGAGTGAGTTGGTTTTAACGCCACAGTCTTACAGTATTAATTGTTATATAGCGGCGTGTCAGCTTAATATGGGAGGAAAGCCCGAAGTGATGCATGCCTCAGACGTTTACCACTTTGGAGGAACCCACGAGCACGGGTATGGTGCTGACAAACCTAGATACGTAATCGGGGTGAACCGGAACCCACAATCATAGGTTTCTGGCGTGCCCCAGGGAAGCAACTCTGCACAGCGAATCGCGGCGCCTTAGACGACTGGGCCACCCGTGCCCCCGCCTTAGACTACAAGGTCACCGATCTTTCCTGACCGACACGCACGTTCAACATACTTAAACAAGGAATGTCTGCAAAGTCTGTCCAATAATACAACATAGAAAGTTTTAAACAATCTTATTAGGTACTGTCTAACACACGAGTAGATGTACATGGCGACGTTGATGGCGATGATGGTGACGATGGTGAAAACGGTACAAAATGGCGGCGATTATGATTACAAAGACAACATTCTCATTTTTATTTATGATCTGGGATAACCGAAACCTCGGGGCAAAAGAAAGTAGACACTTGAAAATTGTATTTGACCAAATTATTACAGACGTTATCAAAATGTTACTAGGCTGAAAACGTCCAAAAGGCATCTGTGATATTTGTATCAAACACTTCCCCATTGAACAACCATTTCTTGTTTGTTTCATTTTTAAAATTAACCACCACCAAACATTTATTTTACTCGGCAGTTTACATTCACAAGGGGCGGTCGGGTAGCTTAGTGGTTAAAGCGTTCGCTCGACACGCCGAAGATCCGGGTTCGATTCCCGACATGGGTACAATGTGTGAAGCCCATTTCTGGTGTCCCCCGCCGTGATAATGCTGGAATATTGCTAAAAGCAGCGTAAAACCATACTCACTCACTCACTCACTCACTCACTCACATTCACTAATGCGTACTGGACCAACATAAAGACTAAACGGTTACTTATGACAAATAGTAGGGCTCCTTGTTTTTTCTGTCCATACTTCCATGTTATTGAACTTGTTGTGAATACTGCTGAATGGGGCGATAAACAAAACAAACTATCCGATTACTGTTACCAACAGAACTGAAATTTAGTGTAATACCCTGTGTTTATACAGATAACATATCTGCCATTTTTATTCACCTGGCATGTTACAAACACCTAATTCCATTGTTGAGGGTCATATGTACTGCTTGACCACAAACTCGTCAGTTAAACAGGTCACCAGTGAAGATATTGCGAAATATGGAAAAAGAGTTGAAGGTGAAATCTCCTCGCTCCACAACATACATCAACATACTGACTTCTCCAAGTTACTCTGGACGTTTGGGGAATCCGCTGACTCATCCACTCACAACGACCAACTACGAGACACACAAATCCTTAGTAATACTCATGCATGGTATGCTATTTTTAAATAAAGGTCATCAGACTTAAATTTGTAAACATTCATTCACCTGTCAGGTGTTATGAAGGTATTATAATGTCGAATGGTGTTTGGTAGTGATGACTCGAGTATGCTCAACATATAAATTGAAAATACTTGTATGTGGAATGACGACTCGTATCATCGTTACTGTGTTTGGCGACATAGGGGTACAAAACAAAGGTATGAGAATCATCTGGTCATCATTCATACTCTTATCTCTACAGTCATCATCACGTGGATTTTTATCAGTTACAATTTCACAACTGGGGAAGGGCTTGTGTTAAGATAAAAAGGGGTAATACGAGTTCCCGCTCACTTCTGAATCGGTATTGCTCACAGAAACATGGAATCTTTAAAGATGTAAGTAACTTTTACTGGTATTTGCCAATATGTAAATGTGATGTCCTTTTCATTTGTATGCACAATAATACTGCTATTGTGTTAACATTATATTTTTCAGTCCCATAACATTGCAATCAAATGAAAGTATACGCCCGTACCTTAAGGTGGCTAAAAAAGAAACAAACACGAAATTGTTATTCAGTGGTGATTAATTTGATAGGGTATCAAGGTTGTGTCTTGCAGTTTTGAGTTTACAGTGTTTCGGCGACTGTTTTGAGGCTCCAAACGCTACGATAACATTTGTTACCCTATAGGACAAATCCAATTTTTAAGTGTAACTTTCTTTTGTCCAGCTGTTTATGTCACGTCACAGGTATGTATTAATATGTGTTTTAAGCGTTATAAGTTGATTTGTACGGGACCATGACACGATATGGCAGAAATTCTGCCGATATGATTCTACATTGTAACTCACTCACTTGTTTCGGGCCTTTTATAAATACCACACAAAATTCTGATATTTGAGATCAACAGGGTACTTTTGTTCATTAATGAAAAGAAATGTCGTGTATACTCAATAGAATACTTAACGTTGTTTAAGACATTAGATTGATGGTCAGGAAATGAATACATGCACAGGACGTTATCTGTGTATAGAGCACGCACAATGTCAATGAAAACATTATATATAATGTCTCTAGAAAGATCCTGATTTCAAACTTGGGTTGATCCTCAGCGGCTGTATATTATTCAATGGATCAGAAATTCATTCTCAGCTCCCTGGGGAGTATACAGCCCAGGTTGCCTTGGAGGCACTTGAAGGTTAACAGCCACATTACCCTCTCATCCTATCGGGTACCCATTCACTGCTGGGTGGACACTGACATATTTCATTACGTGCTGGCCACTACAATAGCAGAACATGCATTTACAATACTTTGAAAATGGTGTTTTACTTGTTTCACACATTAGATATATTTCACTTGATATAGGCACTGAATGATCTATAATTGCACAATTGAAATGTATATTTGTTACACTGACCATCATGTAGAAGACAAAACATAATGTTTTTACTACACAGTCATGTTCCTAGTTACTTTTAAAGAGGGGGGGGGGGGGGGGGGGGGGGGGACTTAAACAGGTTTGATTTTACGACCTCCGAGGAAGATGATTGTGAAACTTTATGCCTCAGCAGCTGTGTGATATTTGCCAAGGTGGAGTAAATAAATTATTCAGTATCTTATTCTTTGCAAAGTTGACTTGATGACACATGCGAATTAATCTTGCAATATCACTTGCGCCTACTCTTGACGTTTTCTTTGTTATCTGTTTCAGATTACTTGTTTGTTTCTTCGTTGGTGTTTCGCACGGATACCGACATTTCCAAGACACAATACCCAACGGGGACGCGGTACCACACCCATGCAAGATCAACTTCTTATGGCGGGGGGTGGGGCACAAGAATCCCCAGGGTGGGGGAGACAGGAATCCATTTGGTCTCGATTTCCAGCAGGTGAAACAGGTAGGATGATTTTCCTTGTATGTACTTGCAAACCACGCTTGAAGTCATGTGAACCATCGAAAACATATCGAGTTATCCGCACAAGCGAATAGTTGACAATGCTGATAATGATTCTGTTCGGTCTATGATATTGACATTGAGTGACATTTAATGCCGTTTAACATGATGTTTTGGAAGATCACGGTAGGTCATAGACGTGAGAGATGTATCGAGGAAATACAGAAATACTACATGGCCACATTGTACATGTATATATAATTAGTGAATATTCCACCCACAAAACTTTACTACAACTGAGAAATATCGATCATCGATTAAGACTGTAAATTTAAGAGCTGTAACACAATTTAGCTGATGGTGTTCGAATGATTCTAAAATACAGAAACATAGGACGTCTTGAGATCATGACTTTGCTTACAGTCTTTGCGTTCTGTAAAGAAGATTCTGATGAATACCATACACTATTTATATGTGCAGCTTATACTAACTTAAGGTCAAGATATTTGCCTTGATATTATTATCAATATCCTACCATGCAGAAGTTTGCACCGGTAGTCACAACAAGTGACAACAACAGCTAGTTCTTTATATTAAAAAAAAACAAAAACTTACAAATTCAAAATTTTCTCAAGTATTTTCCAAGCATCTGTACTATTGGCCTCATGGCCAGACTATACGAAGGAAAGATCTGTTCTGTACGGTTCCGAAATAAGCTAACAATATGCAAAGCACGGATGTATGCCATTGGCTCTCGAAAGGTAAGGTTGAAGAGTTCATGAACAAATGATTTTCATAGCACAGTGTTGTTGAAAGTACGAATGGTACTCTGCGCAGAGTTAAGCCGCATGGAGCTGACCATGGTTCGAATGGCATATCATCTCAACGCATGGTCCGTCTGCAGCATACCTTGGTCGTAGGTTTCACTAAAGTGATAAACAAAAAGGACCGGTGACACTTTTGACTTGAATCCTAGTACATTAAACTGACGTGCCGTAATGTATCTGAAGTACAGTGGAATGTGGTGTTAAACCCATTTCCTCCTTCACAAAGGTTGTGTTTGATCATATCCATTAGGATCCAACCATTACTCTCAGGTGAATCTGAACAAACGGGTGAAAGATTGTGCTATTTGCGTTGCTTCTCTGGCTATTGATACAAACCGATACCAACCAGGGTATCTTTTAATTCGGTAACTGTTTTCTCGACCGGATTGGAGCGTGTTATTAACGGAGGACATTGCCTTATCTGTGCACTGTAATACTCAATGACCTACTTTACTACTCACTCGTCGTTGTAAGCATTTATCATTAAACCCCACATGGAGATCATTGCCTGAACTGGTATTTCACAATGTTGTGTTGGTTTCTACTGAGCATGTGATTGTGACGTCCCTACATTGGTTTCAGTAGAGAACACCACTTTTCCATTTTTAATATTAACCTGCTTTGTGTACAAACGAATTCGTTTAGATCTTACACATGTGACATGATTCAAAAGTGAAAAATCAATCGGATTTCCAAGGTTTTATATAATTGATATTAGAGTTATGTTTTAAATAAGAAGTACAAAACGAGATGTTGTAAAACAAAATGGAAATCTCAACATTGTTGTCAGTTAAACATAGAATCATAAAGAAATGTCAGGGCGAATATGCCGTAGGTATACATAGGGTTGATAGTGGTGAACCTAAGACCCATCCATGGCTGCAAAGCTTGGTCTGTTTCAAAAGGACGTATGTTTTTTACTAGAAATGATGAACGGGTGGCCCAGTCGTCCAAGGCGCCGCGATTCGCTGTGCAGAGTTGCGTCCCTTAGGCACGCCAGAAACCAATGATTGTTGGTTTGAATCCCGGTTCGCCCCGATTATGTTTCAAGGTTTGTCAGCAGCATACCCGTGCTCGTGGGTTTCAGCGAAGTGGTAAACGTCTGAGACCTGCATCACTTCGGGCTTTCCTCCCACATTAACCTGACACGCCGTGATATAACTTGAATAACGTTAAAAGCGGCGTTAAACCCAACTCACTCACTCACTTGTAAATAATGTAATGTTATGTCCTTAAGGTGACGCTTAATGGCATTCTTGTAAAAGGTGGCTTGTCCATATTTCGTTCCAGTGGACTACGGAACTGTGCCAGAAGGATTCTGATGGGGACGGGATGACCAATGGTCAGGAGCTAGGAGATCCAGACTGTGTGTGGCATCCGGGCAGTTTCCCCTCCAGGACCAAGAACATCACACATCCAGGTATATTCATCTGTTCCGTCACAGAGTTACATGTAGCTGTGAACGTTCTTACGAATGTTATAGTGTAGAAGTCTTTTAACACAAAAATAATGCTTTGAAATGATGCATCATAGTCGTTGTGTCCTGTGACAGGAAAATGAAAATTCATATTAGTGGTGGCATGTCGGTTAGTTACATTCAAGGATACAATGCGTGAAGCCCATTTCTGGTTTCCCCCGCCGTGATATTGCTGGAATATTGCGTAAAACCACACTCACTCACTCACTACATTCAAGGACACAAGGTAAGACTAAACAGGCTGAAATAACATGGCGGTTATACAATTCCAATAAATTCTGAAAAATAAATCACTTCAATCCACTTTGAATAAAACCATTTTAAGACATCTCTTTAAGGACGTTCATAAAATATCCAAGCTTTAAAAATATTTACCCGCATTTACTGTTGACTCCCTGAATATACTAATACCTCGGCAATGTCGGACAAATCTCATTTATGGGCAGGGGGTTGAGTTTGGTATTTCCCGAACATTCTCACAATTTTCACGTCGCTTATCTTTTACTTTTCTCCCTAAACCGTTTCTCGTATCTCTCCCATCTTTTGATGCGATCGTTCGGCTACTGCGTTTATCTGCGTTGCCCAGCTACATCAAGTGGGGACAACTTACGACGTCATCAAGTTGCGAGTGCATGTTCGAATCTCCAAAAATGACGTCATGATCGAACAATGCTTTATCGTGAAATAAACAATATTTCGTTCTTCATCGTTCTTTGCGATTTATCGCGTAGTTATCCTATATAAAGAACTGGGTATATCAATGCTCTGCTGACAAGATCCATGCAAGGAGTGAAAAAGACGTTTACGGAACATCAATGAAAATATGTCACTTTCCGACGCAAACAGACTGCATTGTCTTATCGTGTAGAACTCATATGGTTCAGGTCAGTTGTCATGGTCGAGAGTTTTGGTTTATTGGAATCTGCGTCAACTTAGCCATAGAACGACTACGTCGTGGTGCTTCTCTCATTCACTTTAGCTGTTAGCAATTTGTGACCTGTCGTACAATGTGAAGGAATTTGTTAGATAACGTACGCCGTACCATTCGCTATTTGATTCGTCCATGGTTCCTGGACCCGTGAAGATTCCGGGGTAGAATAGGTCTTCAGCAACCCATGCTTGCTGTAGGAGGTGACCATGCCTGTCGTAAAAGGCGACTAACGGGATCGGGTGGTCAGGCTCGCTGACGTGGTTGATGCATGTCATCGATCCCCATTGCGTGGATTGATGCTCATGATATTAATCACTGGATTTTCTGGTCCAGACACGATTATTTACAGACCGCCGTCATAAAGCTGGAATATTGCTGAGTGCGGCGTTAAACAACAAACCGACCAACCAACCATGGTACCTGACTGTGTGGCGTGATATGGGCGATACCTGAACTACTTGTATGTCGTTAAAGGACTAGCAAACTAATCCACGCAGTGAACACGAAGTAATACCAGTAGACATCCTCAGCCTAACTACTTCAATTGCACTAACCTCAGCAGCTAAACCAAAGGGCACGGCAAGTGCTGGACATATACATCACGACCAAGCACGACATGAAGACAGCACCGTACCAAAACATCGTCAATATTAACGATGAATTGTGTGTAAAGACTAATGCCACTTTAATTGAGCACACTAATCCCGGATAATAATCCCCCCGATTGTGTCACTAGTTTCGTTTCGAAACGGTTCCTCGTGACGTTAAATTCTCGTGTCAACCACTGCTGATCGAATCTAAGTTCGCCAGACTCTTGGTCTGTCAGCACAGTACATGTGTTCATGATTTTCACATTTGGGCTTTCCTTTCACATTAAGCTGACACGCCATGATGGAGCTGAAATACTATTCAAGGCGATGTTTTCATCTCTCGTCACGTTTTCTGATATACTGAATATCATAATTAGATGCATATGACTTTGAACCTTCATGGCCTCACCCAAGCGTCTCTCACTTCAGGTATCTGTGACCCCTGGGGAAGTCCTAAATGCACGGCCAAGAACGACTGGGTGTCTTGTACAGCTGGCGATTTTGTATGCAACGCCACAAAAGCTCCTGGTAAGTTGAACCTAAATCAGTTTTACACTTAACCTCATCTACCTTGACTCACCAAAGAGGTAGGAGAAGTGCCCAGTTTGACACACTGCAAAGTTTATAGTTGAAATTATCATTTGTGTAAACAACTGACAACTAGCCATTATCACTGTTGCAACTTGGCCTCGTGGACATGTCAAATTTTAATGTTTCGGAAAGGTTTGCTGAAATTATTAGAAATGGGCAAAAGAATGACAACTATGATCATATTCCTCTTTCCTCCTCTTGTCAGTTATCGACTTCTGGCAAACAGGAGTGAACAAAAGGTGATACTGACTCCAAGAGGAAATCGAATTATGAGGAAGAGACCATGCTGAATCGCCACACCGATGCAATGCTTATGATATATATGTACATTCCCTACTAACGTTACAGTACTTCCGTTTTCCAGAGGTGAAGAGCTTCACTCTGAGATATCCACCAACACGGGTGCCTCCGACTGAGACCAACTACTACTGCATGCCCTTCGACGTCAGCAAGTACATCGACATGTCACAGGACTACCACCTGATTGCAACTAAACCAGAAATCAACAACACCAACGTCATGCACCACATCGTCCTCTTCGGATGCGATAATGATGGTAAATTTATGTTTACGTTATCAAAACAGAATTATTGGTCTATCCTTATCGCAACATATACACACATGAAAAAGCAAACCAATATGTCTGTCGATTAAATCGAAATCGCAATCACAGGGTTTGCCATGTTGAGGACCGACAAATATATCTTCCTTGAGTGGCATTAAAAGTTTGTATGATAATCCAGGTGGATGGTTCTATGGATATACGATCAATGAGACGCTTCGGTGTAGATACTAACACAGTTATCAAGCATGTCATGATAATGAAGTTAGTATCTTCACCAAAAACGTTGCATTCATGGTTACAAATAGAACAATCTCCCTTGTGCGACAAATGATATCACAATAAATTTGTGATTTCTTTAAACCAATGATAACTTGTATTCATTATCTTGTTTACAAAGGGATAGCCGCTGATATGTTTCATTGTTGACAGCTGACATAACAGACCATGCCACGCCCTGTTACATGTCCCAGAAGGGGTGCTCTCAAGTTCTTGGGCTCTGGACCCTGGGGCTGGATGGAACATGTGAATATGAAGAGGCAGGATATCGCATAGGTCGCACTGGCCCAAAGAAAATGGTTTTGCAGGTAAATAGTTCTTCTGGTCAAGGCACTAGTTGTATGAGGAACGCAGTGCAGAGGTAAGCTTAATACTGCTTCGTAAGGTTCACGGCGAGGGTCGTAGACTTTTACAAAATAACAGTTTGGATGCTCTAGAGCTATCCCCATTTCAACTTTATTTATTATGTTCCAGTTTCATTGGACTAACCCTGAGTTGAGAAGTGACTACATGGACAATTCTGGTTTGACCTTATATTACACGCCTAAACTGAGAAAGTACGATGCCGGATTCTTAGCTACCGGCCAACAGTATCTGGAGATTCCACCAGGTGCTAAGCGGTCCACGTTTGAGTCAACATGCACAGAAGAGTGCACCAACAAAATAGTGAAGGGAAATATCTACATAACATCTGGTCTCAGCCATATGCATTATCTAGGTAAGATGTGTCTTTTGATACTAGGTAAGATGTGTCTTTTAATACCGATGAGACCCGTGAAGATCCGGGGTAGAATAGGTCTTCAGTAACAAATGCTTGTCGTATGAGGCAACTAACGGGACCGGGTGGTCAGGCTCGCTGACTTGGTTTGATGCATGTCATCGATCCCAATTGCGTGGATCGATGCTCATGATATTAATCAATGGATTGTCTGGTCCATACTCGATTATTAACAGACCGCCGTCATATAGCTGGAATATGGCTGAGTGCGGCGTTAAGCAACAAACCAACCAACCATCCAACTAATACCGATGCATCAGTGTCTCTAGAATATGTCAACCATGACAATTCAGAGTCAGTCGTATATCTCATTATTCATACCCGTACCCGAGGAAAGGATTCAGTTGGGATGCAGATGGTCAGTATAAACTGTGGGGCAAAAGAAAGTATACCGATGTTGTTTTTTATGTAATTGAAAATTGAAAGAATTGTTTTGCAATTTGATTACTCATTCCTGCAACAGCTTGTAAAAGGTGATATGTGGCTGGGTAATTTTGTGTAAAAATGAATTGGTTCTATGACGACAAGAACAAAATAAGAACAAAATTTTCAACCACATGACCATGTTTGACATGTTATAAATTGATGCCGAAAAAAAGCAAATTTCTTTATTGATTTTCAAAGGTAAGATGTCTACGGTACCCATCAGCAGTTGTGTTTTATGGCATTTTTTAAATAGAAATTAAAAATGAAATTATATTTTAACAAATAGAAACCTTTTAGATTTTTAAAAAAATATTGACTAGGCACCTGTATAGTTTATATTACATGATATCGCTAACTTCAGATACTATCATTTGAAAATCCAACTTGTGATAAAATCAACTGAGAGGTATAGTTTATTTTGATCACCAGTTTATATGACTTTATAGTTGTGTATAAGGTGCAGAATTGAGAAAATACTCACAACATGTAAAGGTTGAACTGGGACTGAATTAATTTAGAGAAAAAATATGTTGAACCATATTAACGTGTCATGTGCCCATCTACAGTTTGTCTACCATTTGTACGTTTATCAGGGCAATATCTCCAGACAGAATCTCTCTCATTTTTGAAGACTATTTCTTGCAGGATTTGACGAGCAGGTTGAATTGTTCCGCAATGGTCAGAGGGTGGCCAAAATTATCGACGACCCCACTTACTCCTATGACAACCCCCAGCTGAAAGTGTTAGTATTAAGGTTTCAACTCTCGCGTTCATCTTATCTCGGAGCTATATGATGCCAGTCCGTCTCAGACATCGTACTTCTCCGAGCAGAGCTACCTCATATGGGCTAAAATGAAACGACAGTAAAAATAGCCATCCAATCCAATTTCACGATATTGGTCAGAGTAACCATATCATTAGTACTCGACTTGTGTCACCTCTGTGCAACAAATTGTGCGCAGAAGACGACAGGATCTCTAATGCCTCCACTTCAACAACGACCCGTGAAGATTGGTAACATATTTAACATGCTCTGATTTATTCAAAATTCCTGGTTCAATGATAGTGCCTATACTCAAATATGGTTCTGAAATATGGGGAACGTGTCATTGTAAATCCATAGAGGCTATACAACTTTAATTCTGTAAACATTATCTTAAAGTGAAGAGACCAACATTTAATGGTATGGTTCTTGATGAGTGTGGCAGACTCCCTTTATGTGTCACGGGTAGTTAAATACTGGTGTACACTGATACACTTGCCCCAAAACAGGCTTCGACCCGTGAAGACCCGGGGTAGAATAGGTCTTCAGCGACCCATGCTTGCCGTAAAGGGTGACTGTGCTTGTCGTAAAAGGCGACTAACGGGATCGGGTAGTCAGGCTCGCTGACTTGGTTGATGCATGTCAATTGCGTGGATCGATGCTCATGATATTCATCACTGGATTTTCTGGTCCAGACTCGATTATTTACAGACCGCCGTCATATAGCTGGAATATTGCTGAGTGCGGCGTTAAACAAAAAACCAACCACTTCAACAACGAAGCTGTGGTGGCGTATGTGTCCTTGTATGACGGCAGAATGGAGATCTAATAATATGCTGGATTATCGAGGAAAATACAATGTGACCTTTCAGGTACTCATCCCCGATTGAGGTGAGACAGGGTGACAGTTTGAAGACGACGTGCGTCTACAGGTCTGTGTCCAAGACCCGTACAACCATGTATGGAGAAGGTTCATATGATGAGATGTGCTATGGGCTTTTCTCCTACTTCCCAAAGGAAAACATGACCGGATCTTGCACGACGTGGAAGAACTTCGATGACTGTAAGTTCGCCAACGAGGATCATATAATTGACGGATGTGACATCGCAATGTTCGAAAACCTAACCAGTCCTGAAATGCGTGCGATCGTGAATGAGGTAAGCAACAAATATCAAAGGCTATATATTTATTTTTTATTTAATAGTTTAGTGATAAAGAATATATGATGATATTCTATGATCCATGACATTCAACATCTGGTTATAACGACCACACGCCGAAGACCCGGGTTCGATTTCCGACATGGGTACAATGTGTGTAGCCCATTTGTGGTGTCCCCCGCCGTGTTATTGCTGGAATATTGCTAAAAGGGACGTAAAACCAAACTCCCTCACTCACTATAACGACCAGTGAGTAAGTGAACAGGGTCTTTCAGTATACCAGCCGAAGTGTTATAATGGAAAAAATGCATTCCAAATTGTATAGCCAATTCATACAAAATGTCGGCCGTCTTGTCGACAGCACCGATGCTGTGTTCGATTATTGACATTTTGTACATGTAATGTAAGTGGTGGGGCTCCGAAAATGATGTTTTAACATCGATGTGTCCTTTCTGCAAATATTACCAAGAAGATGAATACCAAGTTTTATTGATATGTCCAGTATATAAAGATATAAGAATCAAATACCTGCATAACTATTAGTATACGTATCCATCACAAAGAAAATTTGTACAGTTAATGAACAGCAAAAATAGCCATATTCTTCTCAGACTTGCAGTTTGTGTTTATAAGATATTTGAAGAAAGGATAATACATTGAATATAAATAAAACGGTGTACACCTATTTCGCTACAATCTAGTCAGTATACAAGTGGTGCTCCACGAGGAGTTTTCTTACAACAAAATGTCATTGTACTATTGGCCTCATGGCTACAAATACGAAATAAATCTGTCTGTCTAAATCTCATATTACTGGTAATAAAACATAATGTTTTATAATATGTTAGTGGGGCTCAACCTATGTTCCATATTTGCGATATTTACATGTTGATCTTTGCACTTCAAACATAGGGAACGCTGAAACTTTCTATCTTATCTCTCTTTTTTTCTCTCACAGTTTTTTTTGTGTGTTCAAAATGTACTGAAATGTAGTTTGCGTGTGTGTGGTTAGTGGCGTTGTTTCATCTGTTGAAATTTTTTTTAAATTTTGGCATTGCTTTAACCATTGCACTTTGACCCTTCTATATTCTCACAAAATCACTGAAAGACCAAAGAAGCTGACACTTAACATGCATGCCTCTTTTAGTGTGTTCAAGATGTGTGAATCCCATTCTCAATATGGTCATATGGCCTTGTGTTTGTCTTTGTTGACATTTTGAAATGTTGACTGCATGTCAAGGTGAGCTGAAGACCCGTCACTAATTCCATGTATTTAGTCAGTCTGCCTTAATGACACTATGTTTGATTAGTAAAGCAACACACATATCTCATCCACTGACGTGACACACGATGTCGGGTCATCCGATGAGATTACGGAGTTAAACATGTTTTCTGGCAAGAAAATTAAAAAGCCTTCATATATTAAACAATAATGTTTTGTAGGTTTGTTTACACAAAAACGTGATTGGTTCTAGGTGATGGATAGCTGCAACCACTATGGATCCTGCAGACCGGAATGTCCAGCTGTTCTTGCCCGACTCAACAAACATCCTTGTTTTCAAGGTGAATTGGGGGAATTGCTGCTTTTCAATTTCGCTGACGGACACGATCCACAGAGGATTAAATTTGCGCATGCGCTGAAGTCATGTGACAAGGCAGCTGACCCAGTTGAAACGAAGTATCCGATGTCGTCAGCTGCCCGTGCAGCATCTTCCGTTGTCTCTGGCATGGTTGTAGCAGCTGTACTTGCTTTAGGTCTGTAAGTCCGCCATGGCGAAATGAGTGGTATCTGATGATGATATTCAATATAAATTCTTTTGACAATGTATTCTATAGTTAATGCTACATTTTACAGACATATATCTGTTACATGCTTCAGACACTTGTGATAACTTGTTTACAATGCACATGAAATAAAGGCTGAATTTATCGTCTTAGTACAATTCGTAAACACGTATAGTGAAACCAGGTCAATACGGACGGTACCGATCCAATTGAAATATTCCAGTTTGACAAGTTTCCGGTTTAAGGAATTATGGATATGGAGTCATCTCCCTTTGTCCGCAAGGTGGATTTCGGACCAAAGGAGTCCAAATTTACTTTCAGAAAAGAATGCCTTTTATCGATCAGTATTATACAGCTAAATCGATAAATGTTAAATATTTTAGCATCTGTGTCAAGTCTTCAAACGTACATATGCGGGCATGCATGTCATCGTATCTCAGTTGCGTGGATTAATGTTCATGATGTCAATCACAGGATTTTCCGGTCCAGACTCGTTTATTTGAGACCTCCGACATACAGCTGAGTGTATCTGATGATAATATTCCAGACAAATTCTTTTCTAAAAACATTTGACGGAGTTTTCTATAGTTAATGCTACATTTTACATACATATTTCTGTTTTATGCTTCAAATAACAGTGATGACTTGTTTACACTGTACATGTAATAAAGGGTGAATTTATTGAACATAATAGTCGGAAACATATTCAGAGGACCATACGGAGGGTACCGTTCCTGTCCAGTTTAACAAGTATCCGAAATAATATGTTATGGAAATGAAGTTATGTCCCTTTGTATGAATGAAGATGTACCTGAAAGTAACTGTCCACAATGTGGTCTTCCGGACAAACGGGGTACCACTTTACATTCAGAGATGGACGGCTTTGATCGATCAGTATTATATAACTAAATCGATCAATCTTCACTATCTTCACACGTATGGGAACTCCCCAAACGAACATAATAGAGAATACGTGTCATCGTGATTGCGTAGATAGATGCTCACTGTGTCAATCACTGGATTGTCTGGTTCACACACGATTATTTACAGACTGCCGTTACATGGAATTGTGCATATTGCGGCGTTAAACCACAAACAAACACAAGCAAGCGTACACTCTTTTAACCGATGACGAATGAGCGAGTTGGGATGAAAGCGGCTCTGAATACAGTGATATCACGTCCTGTGTGTGGACACCCTGAAGTGGTGAAGTGATTGCCACTTTCATGAAACCCACAAGCACATATTTAGGACACACCGGAATTCGAACCAATGATCGTAGCTTCCTTCACACATGGGGGCACGGGTTGCCCAGTCTTCTAAGGCGACAGAAACCAATGATTGAGGGTTAGAATCCCTAGAATATGTTTCTGGGTTTGTCAGCACCATACCAGTGCTCGTGGGTTTCACCAAAGTGGTAAACGTCTAAGACCTACATTACTTCGGGATTTCCTCCCACATCAAGCTGACATGCCGTTGTATAACTGGAATACTGTTAAACGCGACTTTAAACTTAACTAACTCACTCTGGCACACCTAAGATGCGCAACTCCGTGCCCCAAGTGTCCAATTACAAAGGTACTAATGATTTATATATTATTAGCATGTTAATAGTGTACGCCTGTCCGAAATACAATACACCACTACAGAGTTTTTAATTTTCAAAGACAGTACAATGCACATATGTAGACATCATTTGCAATGGAGGACATTTCAATTCTAAAAGAGCGTGAGTTTTTGTTTCAACGCCGCTTTGAACAGTGTTCCAGTTATGTCACTGCGTGTCAGCTTGATGTGGGAGGAAAGCCCGAAGTGATGCAGGGTTTTTTCCGATTATCACTTTGGTGAAACCAACGAGTACGGGTATGGTGCTGCACGAGCACTGGTATGGTGCTGACAAACCAAGAAACATAATCGGGACATGTCGAGAATCGAACCCACGATCATAAGCTTCTTGTTCCAAGAAGATTCGAGTGTAAATACGTTCAGACACCATCATCTCATGCTTCCAACATGTGTCTGCCCACCAAAAAATAGCGTTGGTACAGGGTTGTCACAACGATTCATTTTCGTTGTGGCAACGTTAAAAAGTAACGTTGGCACAACGTTAACGTGTATGGGTTTTTAACGATGCTGTAACGTTACGGTGTTATGGTCTAAAAACCCTTTCCTGCAACAATCCTACAACATTGCATTATTTACACTTTTAATCATTATTGACGTTTCCTCATCACTTCTTGACAGTGCTGACATTTATATGCAGTTCGTGATAATCCCATTTACCATCAAATACTGTTGATTTAGTCATGTGGTTCTCCTACCCAGTTAGAATTCAGACGTTGTGGCAACGTTGGGTAAATCCCGTTGAATCAATGACGACAAAGAAACGTTGGCCCAACGTTGGATTGGCGTCAGGTATATTCCCCAATACCTGGTGGCCTGAAATGTTTGTATCAAACGTATCCTGTTCAGATATCACTAAGCAACCAGTACATGCTACAAGCTGATTTCATTTTGAACTCTATCCATGAAACAGCAGGTCAATGAAATGCTTCCTCTCTTCCTCTCTGCGCTGGGTACTTCTGAATAGTATGATGAGGGCCTTAAAAACATAAAAAATAGGTTTGATATTATTTATTTTTCAAACAATTTTCTAGTCTATGTGCACATGTTTCACATTTTTTTCAATTCAATGTATACATATTTCATTTTCCCAAAAATTTGTAAATTAAATACCATCAGACAATAGGACCTGCACAAAGCCCTACATAAAGATGTGAAACATTTGATATTTTCTTGGCCTAACACCATACATTCAACATTGAGGGCAAGCCTGACACCAGCAAAATAGTTTGTGTATCTGATGTCATATGATCCATTAAAATCAAATTAAAGTTGAATATCACAACAACATTTAGACAATAGATACTTCTGATTGAGGTGAGCTTTATTTATTTGTTAAATGACAACGCCGAACATATGGATCTTGGGATAAGTTGCTGAGGAGTCTTCTTAGTCCTCAAATGAGACCGCTTGTCCGAGATTAGAACACATTTCCCCATTGTTTTAACATTACAAGGGACATTTTATCTTCACCGGGGCTAGTAAAGCTTTTTGAGTTTAATTTTAATCCTGATGATGACATTCCTAGGACTTTTTTTAATATGAACAAAAACGGGTTGCCTCCTTTTTAAAAAAAATCAAATTTGCATCCGAAAATATATTATATCTTAACCACCCTCACGAATATTAAATGGTCAGACCATAGAGAATGGGACTTGCAATAATACCATAATACCCTTGGGTCATTGGAGGATAAGCTCTAACATTGAATTTAATGAAACCGAGATACATCTCTCAATGATTTAATTTTTGAAGTCGTTCATATTTATTATTGCATTACAGATACTTATCTTCTTAGTTGTTAGAGCCACCACTCCTGTCAGTGCTGTACTTAGCAAATATGCTGACAATACCTGCAAAAAACAAAACACAAAAAAAACACACACAAAGCATCACACTCTCAAATAAGTCAATAGAGATGAATCCTATTTAGTTACAGTATGACACTGGTGTCAAATAATTTTATCTGTCGGTGGAAACCAACATAATTAATCTACAGCTACAGCTTTATACTGCACATCTGAAACAAGCGATTCACGTATTAATGCGAATCTCTGACATCATGAGTCTCTGAAACCTGATGTGATGAATACTTTTATGAAAACTCATTTAAGCAAATATTACAAAAAATGCATAATAGTTCAGTAAAAGCATTCATGTTCATGATGTTGGCATGAATGGTGACTCTTAAGTATAAATTGACCCACCAATAAGAGAGTATTTGATACATTATAAATTTAATATTCATAAACTGCTAAGCAAAATAAAGTATACCGAGTTTGTTTTTAATGTGACTGAAAAATGAAAGAACTGTTGTTAAGTTTGATTACTGGTATGTCTGCGTAACCATCAGTCAATGTAAAAAGTAGTGAGGACCTTGGTAATTTTGTGTAAAAATAAATTGGTTCAATGAAGGCATGGGAATGAAGAGAATATGCAACCACATGGCCAGACACCATGTTTGAAATAAACATGAGTACCGAAAATGTATTAACTTTCATAGATTACAAGTCTCAGTTACCCGTCAACATTTGTATGGTATGCGAAACTGTTTTTAATTCATCGCAACCTGAGGCATATTTGCACTGTATGGGATGTTCCATTGTGGGATGTCATACATGTAGGTTACAGAAACAACAATTATTGTTCCTCAACAAACATTATTCAATATCATTCTTTCACTTATCATGAAGTTAGGAATTACCCCGACCCCAGTACATTATACAAATTAACAATTATACCTCCCCATCCTGAATTGAGAACATAGTATTACTGTCCTAACTTGTCCCAGTTGTCACTGCACTGCACTGCACTGTTCTATCAATCATGCCAAATAAATTGTTTACCGGAACAGTGCTGTTGAAGAATTGCAAGAAACCAGAAGACAGCCCAGGACTGTGAGTGAATTGCTGTTCAACATTAAAATGTTCACTTCCTATGCCTGCTGATACGCCGTTGCTACTACCCTGGACTATGACTAAATACCGTCTCTTTTGATCCGAAGAAGAGTCGGAACTATACGACATGAGACTGTGCCCTTTTAGTTTCACGATTTCGCGACATTCCACGCCAGCATAAGAATTGCGAAAGAAGTATGACTGTTGTGAAATATTGCTGGGTGCGGCTTTAATCAACAAACGATATGACAATTTTGTTTTTAATTATGTTGTCTCGTTACACCTCTGGTAAAATAAACAGATAATGGCTTTGTAACGAATAACGTTTATTCAGTCTGTAACGTGGTAATGAGATGTTCGGTAAAATAAATCCGAAAAGAAGATACTGTTTTGTATACAAAAATAACATTGCACGAAAGGCGACCAAGCCCTACTCAATCACGTATAGACGCCGAGGCAAGTTTAAACAAAGACGTGGTCGTGGTCGTGCACATGGTCAACACTCCTGGCTGGAGGCTGCCATTTTGGTTCGTATGGAAAGCAGAACGGTGAATGAAACGAAATCAAACAAAAGTTAAACAAAGCAACGAAACGAAATAAAAGAAATTTGGGCTCAAAAGGCTTTCTGACAAAGTCTATTTGAGATAAATAAAATTCATTTTGACTTGTTCACTTTTTTCTAACAGTTTTTCGTGCACAACTTCAACATACGTCGTGTTTTTATTTTGCAATATATGGCATTGTTGACATTTTCACTAAGTAACTTAACACTGCTGATGATAACAGCAGACTTGATATATAAACCTGAAGCAAACAATCGCATTGTATATTATCCCGGATACGGTAAACGTTGCTGGAATCCATGTTCGACGACACACCACAGTCATGTACTGTACAAATAATGTTGAGGCCTACTCTCTTGATCCAAGCTGAAATCAAATATCGGATTCGCTGAAATGAAATATATTGTGTTTTAAATAAGACCACAGTACGGAACACACGTTTGATATCAAACACATTATTTGATTTATTGTATGCGCAGCCTCGTATATTTTAACGGTCACTCTCACGTGAAAATGAAGTCGGCAATGCGTCACAATCTAAAGTGGATTTTGTATGGTATAAAAGCGGTTTATGCTGGTCGAGTATCAATCTGGAGTTGCCTCTACCAACATGGATCGTTTCCAGCGGTAAGTTTGGTTTGGTTTCATACCGCTTTGAACAGTGTTTCAGTTATATCACGGCGAGTCAACTTAATATGGGAGGAAAGCTGCAGTGAAACACGCCTTTGACACTTATAGGAAAATATAAAACGTCAATGTCCGAGAATAATCAGTCTCGACTATCTGTCGAAACAGATTCCGTTGGAAAAGGAAAAATAATGATGACTGTCATATGAATGGTTCACTGAAAACCCGCGAACACGGTTTTGTTGACAAACCTAAAGACAGTCTCGGAGAACCGGGATCCGAACGTCTGAGGGTCACAACTCTCTTTTATTAGATTACTGTGCCCACGGGCTTGATCTAGAATACCAGTAAGATGTTTACAAGATGAATCATTATGAATTCATTTTCGAGGCTCGTAATGCGAGTACAGTAAACTACGGTTATAACGAACTCAAAGGGACTACTAATTTTAGTTCGTTATAACCGTAATTCGTTATAAGCATATATGCCGCATAACTACAGCATATAGTCGGGACTAAAAAATAAATTCGTTATATCCGTTAGTTCGTTATAAGCGTGTTCGTTATAATCGTAGTTTACTGAAAATGAAATGGTTATGGTTGGTTTGTGATAACAAAGCAAACGTGCATTTATCTGTCTAAGTGTTTCTTACAGCCTTCCACATATGCGGATTCGGATCGGACTAGGTCCATAGGACCTGGTGGTATCAAACTTCAATGATGCATTAACTTGTCATTAAACCTCCATTACCTCAAATGTCATTAATTTCGGTTGTGTTAAACGTTTGATGATTCCGTCCGTACACTAACGGGCGTTTCACATAATGGAGTTTTAGGAGTACCTAAACTGTCATTTAATCAAACAATATATGCTGTAATACGTATAAAAACATTGTATTATATATTTACACTTTATGAAAAAAAGAAACAATGAACGTCAGAAGTGATGCAAATAGCATTTATAACGTTTGTGTCGAGAGTGATGAATTGTGGGGAAATACCCAAATCTAATTACGCATAAATGGAATTCCTGTGCCTAAAGTTCATTAGTTAATGATAGTGTAATGATTTCTGTGCACGACCGATTTAATTCTTAGAGGCAACAATAATGGAAGGCTTAATCAGAATGAATACGTGATTCGAAGCCGTGATCAGTGGATCCTGGGGGGATGTAAGGGACGAAACTCTGCACAGCGCATTGAGGCATCTTGGACGCATATGAGATCTAGATCTAGAGTTGTTTGTACCAACTTGCCTGTGAGGCATCAGGCAGCTCTTTCCTTACTGAGTTAGAACAAAAACAAAATACAACAAAAAATCGTTTCTGAAAGAATCTCAGACACACAATTGCCGAATTCGATATGAACCGATTTATGTTTCAGTCAATTGTAACAGGATTATACATATCAAGTCAATATTGTTGTTTGGTTTTATTTCTTTTAGACTGATTGCTTTGTGTTTCATCATCGGTGCTTCGCACGGATTCCGACATTACCAAGACACCATTCCAAACGGGGACTCGGTACCACATCCCTGCAAGAACAACTTCTTATGGCGGGGGGTGGGCCACAAGAATCCCCAGGGTGGGGGAAACAGGAATCCATTTGGTCTCGATTTCCAGCAGGTGAAACAGGTAGGATGATTTTCTTAGGCAATATACTAGTATGTACTGTGGTAAGGTATACAATGAAAAACACAGGTAAATTAATGAATATACACCCTAGGAACATAAAAGACCATCTTGGTGCTACGTGCGACGTATCTTCATTTAGTTAGTTGATTTAAGAGATATAAGAGAAGCTTCTTTCCAAATCATCCGCCCGGAGGTACATGTACCAAAAGACGCTAAAAGATTGTACTTGTTACCCTGCCTGGCGCTCGTTATTAAGGGGATCAAACAAGGACTGATCGGCTGGGGTCAGTATATTGTGTCGACACCGTTTCGGTGTAGACACTGACATCGTTTTTAAGCATGTGATGAGAATCAATAAAAGTTTTATGGCCCCAGGATTCGGCACACCCGTTCTGTAGGATGACAAGTCATATTGCTTAACGATTAAATATGACCTAAGATTAAGCGTTGAATTTTTTCGGTATTCCTTTTTTAATTTCATTCATAATACTACCACATTTATAACATAAATGTTACAAATGAAACTTTAAAAAGACTTCGTATTATACGTAACATAGATTTAACTAAAACAAATAATGAATTACAAATAGATTTTGCATTGATCACATTGACATTTATTGTATTGTTTGCATTGTCCAAATATTCGTTTTGTCAGTCATCTTGCCCATTTAAACTTGTCACCGACTACGTGCTCGTCTGATTTAGGCCAGGTTCACACAGTGCCGATTATGGCTCCCGTTTGAGATCAGACAGCGCTACGACAAGAAAAGCGAAAAAGTCGGATTACTATCCTCGATGATCTAGAATGTCCTATCATTGTCTGAAAGCATTCGTATACGTCCTAGAGATCGGGAAAGGTACAGAGAGGTCGGCCAAGCACTCCCGACAGCATGGTGCGTCCCGTAACATTCGGGAAACTCCGCCGATTACGCTAGTCGGATTACAATCGTGACTATGTCGTGACAAATTTTGCTGTATCGGATCAAAATCGTACCAATGTCCTGTGTCGTCTGGATGGTGTCCTGTTGATCGGGACGCTGTCGTGTTGAACGGGCATAAATTGGTCATTGCGTTTCTTGTTGATTGAGTCCAGATTGCATCCAGATCTTGCCGAATGCGAACCGTCTTCGTCGGTTCACTGTCCGGTTACTGTCTGATCTCTGTCGGATCGCATTCGGGAGAATCGCCACGCTGTCGGGACAGGTTCGGTCGTTGTTTACCATGCGAAAGATACAAACCGGATTAGAATCGGATTGAGAACGGGAAAATCTTGACGAATTCGGCTTGAAACGGCTGAATCGGGACGCTTCCTGAACAATATCTGATTGTTTGTGAATTTCCCGCCACGAATCTCAGGATCTTGATCAGACTTTTGACAAATCTTAATCGGGATTTGTCCTATCAAGGGCGGCAGTAAAATCCTGAATGTGTGACTGAGCCCTTAAGAACGATAATTACACTGATCGAAGTGATTTTCTTTTAAAACAGGACAAAAGTTGTAAATATACACGCTGTTATGTTTCACTGTAAGCATTCAGATAGAGTAGATACATGTCTTCTCCTTAAAGTGAATACAAACCCCAATAGGATGTTCCGTCCCTATAGTAGTTGGGTACAAAGACCAGCATCATTTGTTGAAGAACATAGAACCTGAAACTTTGTTGTTGGGCATTTCAAAGAAAAGCTGAAGCGTCACAATCACAAGTGTTCGTTTGGGCCTTCAGATGAAATGTTTTATTGATGGCAGTGTGTGAGGACATGGTTTTACGCCGCTATTAGCAATATTTGAACAATATCGAGGCGGGCGACAACAGAAATGGACTTCACGCCCATGTTGAGAATCGAACCCGGGCCTTCAGCGTGACGAGTCAACTCTTAACCACTCTGCTCTTGTCTCTTTCCATTTCTTTGGGTTTTATCTTTATTTTTTCCACGAAGTGGTAGTTGTAACGCAATTCTTTTTCAGTATCCATAAATTAAGCTATTTCAATGTCATTGTTTACTCTATGTATTTACGATATCTAAAAGATTGGAATTACTAATTATATTATCTGTACCTTTAATGTGGTGTAAATATCCAACGGCAAGATCGCACTTATCTGTCGAGATATGACAGTTTGATGATGAAAATTCCGTCATTCATTACGGTGAAATCTACAAACTTGTAATGAAAAGACTGATGTGTAGATCGCACGTATCTAAGATCATTCAGCCTGTTTGTATAGCTGGACCGTAGCATTTCTTTTCTAGTGGACTGAGGAACTGTGCCAGAAGGATGCCATGGTCGGTCATTACGTATATTCCATGTAAATAAAACCCTCAGCCATGTCATTAAAACCCCTTTGTTTCTATGTTAAAATATTACAGAACACATGTTTCTGTTCCAGTGGACTGAGGAACTATGCCAGAAGGACTCCGACGGAGATGGACTGACCAATGGTCAAGAGTTAGGAGATCCTGAATGTGTGTGGCATCCCGGTCAGTTCCCTCAGATGACCAACAACATAACGCATCCAGGTACAAGAATAGTAGACATTGTCGTTCTGTCCGTTCAACTGACAGTAACTATACTCCTGGTTAACTTTAAGCGCCAGATCTCTTAATTGTCATGTATGTGTTTGAAATATCTACATGCCACAATGACCACCGATACCTGATCATATTCCCTATAATTGTTCGTGCATAATTACGTCCATCAAGTGAACAAAAATCTGCTTGAATTATGACTATTGGTTTTGGCACCAAACTGTTTTCTTGTTTTCACCAAAGTTTTGTTTATTTGTTTTTGTGTAACGCCTCACTCAGCAATATTCCAGCTATATGACGGCGGTCTGTAAATAATTGGGTCTGGACCAGACAATCCAGTGATTGACATCATGAGCATCAATCCACGCAATTGGGATGGATGACATGCTTCAACCAAGTCAGCGAGCTGACCACCCGGTCCCGTTACTCGCCTCTTACGACAAGCTTAATCGCCTTTTACGGCAAGCATGGGTTGCTGAAGACCTATTCTACCCCGGATCTTCACGGGTCATTCACCAAAGCGATAGACTTTGGGTTTGCCTCTACCATTAAGCTGACAAGCTGTTATGAACTTAAAATACTCTTCAGTGCGGCGCTATACACAATTTACTGAATATCATAATTAGATGCATATGACTTTGAACCTTCATGCCCTCACCCCAAGCGTCCCTCACTTCAGGTATCTGTGACCCCTGGGGGAGTCCTAAATGCACGGCCAAGAACGACTGGGTGTCTTGTACAGCTGGCGAGTTTGTATGCAACGCCACAAAAGCTCCTGGTAAGTTTAACCTAAATCAGTTTTACACTAAACCTCATCAACCTTCACTCACCAAGGACAAGGACGTTTTTGACATACTGGAAACATTGAAGTTTATAGTTACTGAAATCATCAAATAGCCTTTCTTTTGCACTGTTGCAAGTTTTCGACTTATGGTATGACCAAATTAACAAGGGTTGCCAAAGTATGTGAAAAAAGCAGAATTTACTAACTTCAAGAGAAAATCCAATTATTTGGACGCCCATGCCGAATCGCCACACTGATGTAATGATATGTACGTACCCCACTGATGTAACAGTACTTCCGTTTTCCAGAGGTGAAGAGCTTCACTCTGAGATATCCACCAACACGGGTGCCTCCGACTGAGACCAACTACTATTGCATGCCCTTCGACGTCAGCAAGTACATCGACATGTCACAGGACTACCACCTGATTGCAACTAAGCCAGAAATCAACAACACCAACGTCATGCACCACATTGTCTTGTTTGGATGCAACGACGATGGTAGTTTCCGGTGTTTATCGATTTCATGAAATAAAAGCAACAAGAAACATTTCCATCATTATAATAAGTCTCTTCTAAAAGTTGTCAAAAGTACGATTCCGACTATATAATAAGCATGTGTTTTTGAATCAGTACCAAATATTGATGATATCAGATGTTCGCGTAAAGGTGAACCTATTCTGCCCTGTGGGCACCCTGTCAGAAACACATGCCAAAAACACGTAAGGTATGGTACAAGTCAAGATAGCTAATTGTATCTGACATCATTTTTGCCACTCTTGGAAATCTCTTCCACATGGCTACCATACAGTTGTTTATAACGTGTTATCGGGTCTGTTGCTAATATATTCTTCAATTCTCACAGCTGACCTAACAGACCATCCCACACCTTGTTACATGTCCCAGAAAGGATGTTCAGAGTTTCTTGGGCTCTGGACCCTGGGGCTTGATGGAATATGTGAATATGAAGAGGCTGGATATCGCATAGGTCGTAGTGGCAGCAGGAAGATGGTGATGCAGGTAAATAGTTCTTCTTATCGCGGCAGTAGTTGTGTGAGGAACGTAGTGCTTTGTTCGAGTAAGCGCTTTGTAAGCTTCACTACATAACGGTTCAGATGCCTGAGAGAGGTGACTCTGGTTTGACGCCGCTTTTAACAGTATTACAGTTATATCGTGGCGTGTCAGCTTAATGTGGGAGGAAAGCTCGAAGTGATGCAGGTCTCAGACGTTTACCACTTCTGTGAAACCCACGAGCACGTGTATGGTGCTGACAAACCTGGAAACATAATCGGGGCGAACTCTTCAACCATAATTAATGTAGTAAGACGACTGGGCCACCCGTGCCCTAAGATGTATCCCCTTTAAATTATCGCTTTAATATATTTTGTTCCAGTTTCATTGGACAAACCCTGAGTTGAGAAGTGACTATGTTGACAGTTCTGGTATGACCATATATTACACGCCAAAACTGAGAAAGTACGATGCCGGATTCTTAGTTACCGGCCAACAGTATCTGGAGATTCCACCAGGTGCTAAGCGGTCCACGTTTGAGTCGACATGCACAGAAGAGTGCACCAACAAATTAATGAAGGGAAATATCTACATAACATCTGGTCTCAGCCATATGCATTATCTAGGTAAGACAACTTGAGATATCTGTCTCCTCTCAGACATTTGCATTGATGGGGTAAGTCAACTTGAGATATCTGCCTGCTCTCAGACATTTGCATTGCTGGGGTAAGTGAACTTGAGATATATGTCTGCTCTCAGTCTATGCATTAACTAGGTGAGACAGTTTGAGATTTCCGCCTGCTCTCAGACATTTGCATTGCTGGTTAAGACAATTTGAGATATCTGCCTGCTCTCAGACATTTGCATTGCTGGTTAAGACAATTTGAGATATCTGCCTGCTCTCACACATTTGCATTGCTTGGGAAGGCAACTTGAGATGTCTGCCTGCTCTCAGACATATGCATTATTCATGAATACTTCAGTGTCTCTAGATTATGTTTAACCATGGCAATTCAGTGTCAATCGTGTTCTTAATGTAGTGTACATAAGAACTAGTGTGACGAACATAATCACTCCATATATATTGAAATAGACTTTAAAGTTTGAGTTAAATGAATCTATCTAAAAAATACATACGTTGGATCATTATAACGTTTGATGTTTCCTTCTATACTTTAGTTTATTTATAATTGTCATTTATTGAGATAGCCATAGCAACGGAAGAGTAGTACACGCGTAAGTTAGAAGATGGATGAATTATGACGACCTCCTTCGTGATCATGTGATATGCTGCATTAACTTACACAAAGTCCATGATGAAAGTTTCTTTAAATGCAAGGCTCTGTTTTACAGGATACGACGAGCAGGTCGAGTTGTTCCGCAATGGTCAAACGATGACTAAAGTTATCGACGACCCCAAGTATTCCTATGACACCCCCCAGTTGAAAATGTAAGTTGAATATTGAGAAACTAACTTTCTTCTTATGATATAAACATATTTATTTCCATGAAGAGGAGGGATTGGCAAACAAGCAAATTTTACTTATCTGAATGCCACTCCCATTCTTCTTATTTGGGAGGCGGGATATGCTAATCCGTCCAGGACACATTATGTCTATGTGCAGGGGTACCCTTCATAGCCAAGGATCTGTTGATCTTTGGTTTAGTTGCCCGAAGGGAAATAGGAATACCTGCCGTCCCAATGTATGTGGATTTGAACGTCTATGACTCCTGTAACCTTGGACTTGCCACAAAAATGAGACAGTTTTTGGTTGTGGGTACTTGGAGCAGAGTAGGGGAAAGGGGTCTTGGACCGTTGTTATCGTTTTTCTTCTCGTGACGGCGAGAAAAGGAGATATTTCACTCGACGCATGAAATATCCTCTATATCTTTTCAGTCAGCGCTCCAAGGCATACACGTATTTCTGAAAGGACGTAACTAAGCATTATTTTACACTCAACACGTTATGTTTCGGACGTTTCAGCTTCTCCAGCTAACTATTTAATTTTGGGGTTAAACATTTAGGTGAAATCTTCAACAAAATTAAATTCTAGACCGTCTTTGGTATATCCTTAGCAGAAGTATTACAATGTGATCTTACAGGTATTCCACCCCGATTGAGATGAGACAGGGTGACAGTTTGAAGACGACGTGCGTCTACAGGTCTGTGTCCAATACTCGAACAACCTTGTTTGGGGAAGGCTCATACGAAGAGATGTGCTATGGACTCTTCTCCTTCTTCCCCAAGGAAAACATGACCGGAAGTTGCGTCACATGGAAGAATGTGGATCTCTGTAAATTCAGGGATAAAACTATTGACGGATGTGACAACGAAATGTTTGGAAACCTATCCAGTCCTGAAATGCGATTGATCGTGAATGAGGTAAGCAACACGTATGAGTTCACATCAACCATTGTTTATGCCTTTTGGCAGCAACGATAATGTCCTTCTGTTGGTAGATCAAATCGGTACAGAAATATTTCCTCCGGCCACGCAGACCGCCTTTCAGACAGATAAGGCATTTGCTGCGTTAAATATCAAATGAACGAATGCTGTATTTCAAAATAATACCAAGTATGGAAAACCGAAATGATTATTATTATTGATTATCATTGGCTGAGATTATGAGCTTATCTTTCAAAAACATCTGTTTAATGACGGAAATGTGTTGTGGTCAAGGATCCATAACACTTGGTCCTTGTCGTTGACTAACAGCTTACAGCAACCCCTGAGTGAATGAATCGGGCCGTGTCATGGTTGGACAATGCTGAAATGACATACTCAGGTAAATGAAATAAACATGTTTTCTGGCTCGAAAATAGCAACCACCACTATGTATTAAAGAATATGTTTTGTAGGTTTGTTTACACACAGGCGTGATTGGTTCTAGGTGATGGGAAGCTGCAACCACTACGGCCCCTGCAGACCGGAATGTCCAGCTGTTCTTGCCCGACTCAACAAACATCCTTGTCTGCAGGGCCAACTGGGGGAGTTCCTGCTTCATAGCTTCGCTAACGGGCGCGATTCCGATAAGATTAAGTTTGCACATGCGCTGAGGTCATGTGACATGGGAGCTGACCCAGCTGATGCGACGTATCCGATATCAGCTGCACGTGCAGCATCTTCCGTTGTCCCTGGCATGGTTGTAGCAGCCGTACTTGCTTTAGGTCTGTAAGTCTGTCATTGCGTTGATGCCGATATTCTGGGATCATTCTCAGCACTTTTTGACGGGTGTTTCCTATGATGGAGCCTCGATGAATGCTTCATTTTACAGTCATATTTCTTTGATATGCTACACATAATAGTACACATATTCATATTGTACAATATGTCATGTAATAAAAATGCTGAATATAAAGAACATTGGTACATTTCGGATATATGTAAGTGAAACCTGATTAGTACGGACTTGTTATTGTCCAGTTTAACAAATGTCCGGATTAGCGAATTATGGATATGGAGTTATGTCCCTTTGTTTGTCCATAAGGTGAGTTTCCGGACCAACCGGGTCCCACTTTTCATTGACAAAAAGGATGGCTTTTGTGGGTCATCATTTTATAACTAATGGATCAATGTTGAACATTTATTCTTAAGCCTGAATGAGAACACTGCAAATGTACGCATGCGAGGGTACATGTGTTTAATAACTGATCTGAGATGAACGCCACTCTGACAAGTATTTCAGTTTTATCACGGCGTAACCGTTTGATGTTGGAGGGAAGCCCGAAGTGGTGCGGGTCAAAGACAATTACCACTTCCGGGAAACACACGAGCACATTTATGGTGATGGCAAACCTAGAAACATAAGTAGGGCGAACGTGATTCGGGCCCACGCTCTTAGGAGGTGACTAACGGGATCGGATTGTCAGGCTCGCTGACTTCGGGGATGCATATCATCGTACCCCAATTGCGTAGATCGATGCTTATGATGCCAATTACTGGCTTGTCTGGTCCAGAATCTTTTAATTTCAGACCGCCGTCATATAGCTAGAATATTGTTGACCATAAACAATAAACAAACAAACACTTTAATTAGTACAACAAACTACCGTTGTGATTTTATTCTCAATGCAAAGTACAATGCAAATATGTTAACATCTTTTAACATGGAGGTCATTTCAATCGTTAGAGTAATATACAAAAATGAGACTTTAGATATGACAGGAAGGAAAATGGTACAAATAATGTTTTACATCATTCAGTGTGATTTAAGAGATTTAAGATTGACAGAAGACAATAGAGTGAGTGAGTATAGCTTTACGCCGCTTTTAGCAATATTCCAGCGATATCACGGCGGGGGACACCAGAAATGGGCTTCACACATTGTACCCATGTCGGGAATCCAACCCGGGTCTTCGGCTTGACGAGCGAACGCTTTAACCACTAGGCTACCCGACCGGCCAAGTAGACAATAGAGACCAGGACATGAGGGAGTGTTGATTTTACGAAACGAGTGTTGAAATTATAAGCGAAATCTGAAACCTTTAATCTTTTCATCGAACTGGTGTAATAATGTTGCCATAAACTACAGTAAAAGCTCTTTCTTACGTACGAGGGGCGTTCAACAAGTTTTGCAACTTCAATATGAGACCAAGTCGCAGAATATCTTTTGCACTTTTATTTTTCAATATAATCTTCATTCACCTCAATACACGTATTCCATTTGTCCTTCAAGCTTATAATACCACTTTTATAGAAATCCGCAGATTGTCCCTCTAACCACGCCTCTGTGGCAGCCTTTATGTCCTCGGCATGCTGGAAGCGTCTTCAGCGTAGGGCAGATTTCATTTGCCAAAACAGGAAATAGTCACTGGGGGCTAAGTCTTGGCTGTAGGGTGGGTGATTCAATCTTATTAAAATCAGATCTGAGTTCTCGCTGACGCTAAACAAAGATCTGAGGACATCCCATTACGGGTCACGTCAGAACGACCTTTCGCGAACTTTGACCGACCACTAAATCGACTAACAAGAAGTCGACATCAGCCAATTAGAAAGCAGCTTTCTCGAGCTTCACGGCACATATTTCAACCTGGCGACTTCCATTTCAGACTACGCTTTAAAAATATGTTGACACAGTTCTCGATTGAAATTTTGAAAACTGAACAAACGAACATTCCGGAATGTCTAGCATATGGTTGCGATTGTCTGGCAGTGCGTCCCACGTACTGAGCAACGCCTACTCCGTTCAAATATTTATTCCTCGGAAGCGAGAGATAGACGTCGATAATTTTGACGGAATCAGTCGTACGGGCAGTAATGGTCGTTCGGAATACCCCGTGTTAACGTTTTGGAGGTTGCATGATCAGAAACCACATTCCGACTGTCACTTTCATGATCAGGTAAGCGACGCTTTGATTGGTCGGATGAAAGGTCGTTCTGACGTGACCCGTAATGGGTTGTCTTCAGATCTTTGTTTAGCGATAGCGAGAATTGAAATCTGCTTTTAATGAGATTGGTGGGTGATTTAACTGCACAGGCCCAGACTTAGGCTCGTACATGATATGTTGTCTGTAGTGGTACAGTAGCTATATAGTCACTCAAGGTTGGACTGTAATATACGCTACTTATATCCTACTTGTACAACAAGTGGCGGTTGGATAGCCGAGCGGATACAGCGTTCGCTCGTCACACCGAACAGCCGGTTTCAATGGTTCACATGGATACTTTGTTTTAATCCCATTTCTGGTGACCCCCCGAGTATTGTGGAAACATTTCTAAACGTGGTGATAAGAGCATTGAAAATTGGGAGGTAGGTGGGGTATATCCCAATATTCGAGTGAATGTCCTTATACCATAATTTGATCGAGTTTGTATAACCAGGTCGCAGTGTACGAATGTAAACACTCAAAGGTGTATGTTTGTCCATTACACGTAGCTTGTCACTCTTCAACTGAGTACACACTCCCTTCTCGTGGAGTGTTGCGAAATACCTCCCCGTGTCAACAATCCAGTTGCTTGTAGCGTCTGTCCCGCGAAGCGACGGTAACACAAAGATACAGCTTTCACACAGCAGGTCGTAGAGGTATACAACTTGGCTGAACCTCACAAGCATGGCTCTGACACGTTCACGAGAAGAAATACGGGCTAATAATCCACAACCATTGGATCCTGGCATCCTAAGGGACGTAACTCTGAATGCCGTTATGCAGCGCCTTAATTAAATGTCGTCGTTGCCAAGATCTGAAAAAAATAGAGACTGATTATTGGTTCACGACGCTTTAAACACTATAAACACCAGCAATAGGTTTTACACATTTGATACATGTGGGGAATCGAACCTGAGCTTCAGCGTGACGAACGAACGCTTTAACCACACGGCTACACCACCGCCCCAACACGAATACAAATGTTGCTACTGCTTGCACAACACCATCCCCACAAGTAGTACAGTTAACGTTTTCTGAAACTGATCAATCAGATCAACTTCCCCTGAAATGTGACCTCAACACAAACACATCATTACCTTAATAGATACATACATATATATTCCTCATAGCTACCACAGTTCCGTACTGAGCCAGATTCGAACGGCATGGAGAAGAGAGAGTGTTAAGATAGCAGAACAATGGAGGTTACGACGTCACTTCCGGAACAAATCAACGGTAGCGATCGGGTCCAGTGTATTGTATAGCGCATATGATACACTGGAATGTAATATATTATATACTCTGGATAGTCGAGGATGAAATGCCGTGTACACGCTATGTTTTGGGGAGGGGAATGTAACGGCACATCGTCGCTGTCACAGTCCGTGCAACTGATTACATTTCATTGCATATATACGGAATTACATGCTACGCAAATACGTCCATTTTCAAACATGTCATCACATACATTTAATTCGACTGAACTGTACATACAAGATACAAAACCCTTTCTATACCTTAAGAAATCTCTGCCAAAAGCCATGTCGCTTCTCTGGCACCGGTCACAAACACATGCAAAGGCAACTCAATTCTTCACCTGAAACAAAACGAACTATAAATGTGGAATTGCATCGGACATCATTTATGTTACTGATGAGTATGAAATGTCCTCCACATGTCTACCATACAACGTTTTGAAAGCTTTACAGAGGCCTTGAATGTTGTAGGTGAAATTGGGTTTAACGTCGCGTCCAAGATTATTGCACTTATATAGCGACGTGCATGCATGTGTGTGTGTGTATGTGGCTGCGTGTACTAGTCCGGACTGATGCCGATTTATAGTGCTAGCACACTGAGATACCATGCCGCAGTTTAACATGAATACCCCAGACACAGTATACTGACTCCGAGCCGACCAGTCCTTGTTTTAGCCCCGTAATGTCGAGCGCGAGACAGGGTAACAACAAGTACCATCTTTTAACGTCTTTTGGTATGACGCGGCCGGGAATCGAACCCCGGACCTTCCGCTCTCCGGGCGGAAGCTCTACCACCAGACCACGGAGGCTGTCCTTGAATGTTGTAACTTTGATCAAGCAACTTCTGAGCAAGAGTTGTATCATCGGACGCTTTACGCCTCCGAACAATTGGGGAATAATTTGTCATCCCCATATCCGTTATTTATAGGTATATTTCTAATATCATTACGTATACATGAAACGTGTTTGGAGATATTTGTGTTATCCACACAAAGAGTGTGTCATTGGTTTTAGATATCTGTTTTTAAAATATATTAAAATAATTATATGACTGTACATCTCATGATCTACCGTCTGATAAGAATGGTGGATTTTGTACAGTGCGGGACTTTCTGATCATGTGGTTTGATTGACAGGTACATGTAGCAATAGGTTCATTCTGTCGGCGTCACGTCGAAGACCCGGGTTCGATTCCCGACATGGGTACAATGTGTGAAGCCCATTTCTGGTGTCCCCCGCCGTGATATTGCTGGAATAATGCTAAAAGCGGCGTAAAATCAAACTCACTCACTCACTCACTCATTCTGTCGGAGAACAGAGGAGTACACGAATAGACGAGATCAAGTGATGATCCAAAGCGAGCGAGGACAGTGAAGCAGTCAAAGGACTCGGATATATACTCTTACAAAAAAGTAGGGGAACTATAAATGTTAATACCAAGTATAATTTGGTTGTTGGTTTGTTGTTTAACGCCGTACTCAGCAATATTCCAGCTACATAAGGGCGTTCTGTTCTGGTGCTGATAGTGTGAGTGAGTTGGGTTCAACGCCGTTTTAACAGTATTCCAGTTATATCACGGCGTGTCAGCTTAATGTGGGAGGACAGCCCGAAGTGATGCAGGTCTCAGACGTTTACCACTTCGGTGAAACCCACGAGCACGGGTATGGTGCTGACAAACCTAGAAACATAATCGGAACGAACCGGGATTCGAACCCACAGTCATAGGTTTCTGGCGTGCCCAAGGGACGCAACCCTGCACAGCGAATCGCGGCGCCTTAGACGACTGGGCCACCCGTGCCCCCTAAGGTGCTGAGAAACCAAGAAACATAATCAACGCGAACCTGGGATTCGAACCCGTGATCATGAGTTTGTGGTGCGTCTGCGGGACGCAGCAACAATGTCACAACACGGAGGACTAAAACAACCCGAATGTGGATTAAGAATATATTTATTAAATAAATACACATCGATGCATCAATATCAACACATCAATACTTCAGTACATCAATACATCAGTATATCAGTGTTATCTCAAACGTACACAATATTATGTACACCATATGTACAAAAAAACCTTCCTCGCTGTCTCCTTCCTATAATCACTGTACACTGTGAAACAGGTAAAAGGGGCGGCCAAAGCCAAGCCAAGCCACGCCGAAGACCCTGGTTCGATTCCCGACATGGGTACAATGTGTGAAGCCCTTTTCTGGTGTCTCCCGCCGTGATATTGCTGGAATAGTGCTGAAAGCGGAGTAAGAGCGTACTCACTCACTCATACAGGTAAGATCTCAAGTCACCACTTCATGCGCCACTTCACCACTTGACCATCACAAGATCAATATCCTTGCTTCGGACATATTTCTACATCCATATACTATTCAATTACTACGCATATATACATGCAACTTTATGAATAATACATACATGGTCTATGTTCAATCTACATGAATATGAACATAAACAATATCTGAATATAATGTAATTTACGCAACGAGATTAGATAACCAGTGTCTCACCAAGGTTAGAAATCTCAGTGAGTGCCCTGAATTTTAGGTGACAGTCTCAAATACCCATTCAATCACACGGCTCATGCAACAAAAGACGTTCACTCCTGACCTAACATCGTTGGCGCTCGCAGCCTACAAACGGCCCAAGCACACTCTAATACTTACAGTCAGACCCACTTATAAGAAATATATACAATGTGATCTTGTGATTGTGGCGCCTTAGACGACTTAGCATCGCTAAATTGCAGCATTAGCATAAGATGAAGAGCTTGATCAATCGTCCATTCCCCATCAGCCGCCTTTCCGACAATCATAGTTTGCTAGGGATCTGTTTTAACCCAGAATCCCACTTGTCTATTATCTCCAGTTGATATTTCAACCAGCTTCGAAAACTAACAGCCACCCATTATGCATAAACCAAAGAGAGTGAGTGAATATTGTTTAATGCCACACTCAAGACTATTCCGGCTACATCAGTGGCAGAAAGCAAAAGCAACGATCATCGCACGGATACACTCGGAATAGTACAGATACAGTCGGAATAGTACAGATACAGTCGGAATCGCACGGATACACTCGGAATAGTACAGATACAGTCGGAATAGTACAGATACAGTCGGAATCGCACGGATACACTCGGAATAGTAGAGATACAGTCGGAATAGTACAGATACAGTCGGAATAGTACAGATACAGTCGGAATAGTACAGATACAGTCGGAATCGCACGGATACACTCGGAATAGTACAGATACAGTCGGAATAGTACAGATACAGTCGGAATAGTACAGATACAGTCGGAATAGTACAGATACAGTCGGAATCGCACGGATACACTCGGAATAGAACAGATACAGTCGGAATAGTACAGATACAGTCGGAATCGCACGGATACACTCGGAATAGTAGAGATACAGTCGGAATAGTACAGATACAGTCGGAATAGTACAGATACAGTCGGAATAGTACAGATACAGTCGGAATCGCACGGATACACTCGGAATAGTACAGATACAGTCGGAATAGTACAGATACAGTCGGAATAGTACAGATACAGTCGGAATAGTACAGATACAGTCGGAATCGCACGGATACACTCGGAATAGAACAGATACAGTCGGAATAGTACAGATACAATCGGAATAGTACAGATACAGTCGGAACCGCACGGATACACTCGGAATAGTAGAGATACAGTCGGAATAGTACAGATACAGTCGGAATAGTACAGATACAGTCGGAATAGTACAGATACAGTCGGAATCGCACGGATACACTCGGAATAGTACAGATACAGTCGGAATCGCACGGATACAGTCGGAATAGTACAGATACAGTCGGAATAGTACAGATACAGTCGGAATCGCACGGATACACTCGGAATAGTACAGATACAGTCGGAATAGTACAGATACAGTCGGAATAGTACAGATACAGTCGGAATCGCACGGATACAGTCGGGATAGTACAGATACAGTCGGAATAGTACAGATACAGTCGGAATAGTACAGATACAGTCGGAATAGTACAGATACAGTCGGAATCGCACGGATACACTCGGAATAGTACAGATACAGTCGGAATCGCACGGATACAGTCGGAATAGTACAGATACAGTCGGAATAGTACAGATACAGTCGGAATCGCACGGATACACTCGGAATAGTACAGATACAGTCGGAATCGCACGGATACACTCGGAATAGTACAGATACAGTCGGAATAGTACAGATACAGTCGGAATAGTACAGATACAGTCGGAATCGCACGGATACTGTCGGGATAGTACAGATACAGTCGGAATAGTACAGATACAGTCGGAATAGTACAGATACAGTCGGAATAGTACAGATACAGTCGGAATCGAACAATGGATTCTCCTCTTAGCACAGATTTCTTTTGATAATGAAAGTGTTCAGTCGCTTTTATGCAAAAAATCTGTAAAGTGGTAGTTACACGTAAGGTATAAGGAATTTTGTATAAATAAATGAATGAAACTGCATTAAATCGTGCTGGGCCCAAGTTACAAGATCACAATTAATGCGATCTTAAACACTACCGAAGTGCACTACTGTGGAAAAAAAACGCATCCAGAGGAAATATTCTGGACAAAGTGTTGCTGAACAAACTTCACGTTGACATGCGCACTTTTTCCTTTGAGTATCCTGTTGACGCCTTGAACATACGCCATGATTCTATTTTGTAATATATGGCCCTGTTGACAATATCCGGCAATGTATTATCACTTGCTAATGATAACAGGCACCTTAATCCCGAAGCAAACTATCGTTTATAACATATCCCGGTTACGGTAAACGTTCCCGGAATCCATTGGTACATCACAGTCACATGAAATACAAATAATGTTGATGCTTAATCTTTTGATCCAAGTTGAAAACAAATAAGAGATTCCTCGCAACGGAATATAGTATGTTATAAATAAGACCATAGTACAAAACATAGGTTTAATATCAAACACACCGTTTGATGTATTATATTAATGTCAATAATTGTCTCTTATAAATCAGCGGTCACTATCACGTGATCATGAGAACAAAGTCAGCAATGCGTAACTATCTAAAGATGGAGTCGTAAGTTATATAAAGAAGGTCGGGCTGGTCGATGAACAATCTGTTGTCTCTTTCAACATGGAGCTTCACCAGCGGTAAGTCGGACAAATATCTTGTGAGTGAGTGAGTTTTGACTTTGAGCAGTATTTCAGGTCTATCACAGCGTGTCATCCTAACATGGGAGTAGGTGGCACGGGTGGCCCAGTCGTCTAAAGCGCCGCGATTCGCTGTGCAGGGTTGCGTCCCTTGGGCACGCCAGAAACCTATGGTTGTGGGTTCGAATCCCGGTTCGCCCCGATTATGTTTCTAGGTTTGTCAGCACCATACCCGTGCTCGTGGGTTTCACCGAAGTGGTAAACGTCTGAGACCTGCATCACTTCGGGCTTTCCTGCAACATTAAGCTGACACGCCGTGATTTAACTGGAATACTGTTAAAAGCGGCGTTGAACCCAACTCACTCACTCACTCACTAATGTGGGAGTAAAGTCTGCAGTGACATACGTCTTTGAAATTCACTTAGTGAAACCCACGAACAAGGATGTGGTCCTGACAAACTGCTAAAAACATACTCAGGGAGAACAGGGATTCGAACGCCAAGCCAAAGAGATGCAGCTGTAAACAGCATAACGGCCCCTACTTGGGCGACTGAGCCATCCGTGCCGGTCAATGGATCCTGTCATCTCTAAGGGACGAAACTCTGCACAGCGAGTTACAGCATCTTAGACAACTAGCAGATCCAGAGTTGTGTGTACCAAATTGCCTATGTGACATGAAGTCGAGTGGAGTCAACATATCCTGAAAGATACTCAGCCACATTATTACCAATTTCGAGACAAGGCGCTTTGTCTTTCATTCATTTGTAGCAGGGCTATAAATATTACGTTTATATTCATGTTTCTTTGGATTTATTTCAGATTGCTTTTTTCGTGTTTCATCGTTGGTGTTTCGCAAGGATTCCGATATTTCCAAGACACCATACCCAACGGAGACTCGGTGCCTCATCCCTGCAAGGTCAACTTCTTATGGCGAGGGGTGGGGCACAATAATCCCCAGGGTGGGGGAGACAGGAATCCATTTGGTCTCGATTTCCAGCAGGTGAAACAGGTAGGATGATTTTCTTTGCATGTACATGTACTTGAAAACCACGCGAAGTCATGTGAACTATCGAAAACAGTTATCCACAAAAGGTAGGATAATATTCTTAGGGAATATGTCTATTGCAGTAAGGTATGCAACTAAACGCTGGTAAATTATTGTAAGCATAATAAGATCCCAGTTCCACAAAACCATATAAGTGATACGTGTATCGCAAGTTTTGTGTTACGAAATTCATTGATTGGACACCGAATGTGGGGCTCGCATAATCATGGCACCTACGAAGCTATGGTCCCCGATTCGACACCGTTGAACACGACCCCTTTCACAACTAGCTTAATCTGTCTACTTCACTACGTTCCGTCAACAACGGTGAATACATACGAGCGGCGTTGTAGTAACGAGTGTCTTGTTTAAGTCGAGCGCAGACATGAGGTCGTTCATAACTCATGAAAGTCAGATAAGCTTAACACTTATTCTACCGTTGCTCGGTATGGCAGCAATGCGTTAAGCAGTTTGTATCAAGGCTGTGACACACGATAAACATGATGCCGTTTGTGAAAGAAAATCTGAACGCTCCTTGGCCAGAACCAGATTCTTGACTCATGTTTCAAAACAGCTAATGACAGGTGATAGGGCTGTACAAGGACCAATATTCTTTGTAGTAGAACATAGAATTTAGATTGTGTGTTGGGCATTACGGACAAATACTGATGCGTCACTATCCCATGTGTGGACCTTTAATTTCATCTATTATCTGGGAGAGTGGGTTAGTGTGGGTATGGTTTTAAGCGAGAAAGCGATGTCCCCTCTCGGCCACCATAGCTTACAGCAATATCTCAGCAGGTTCGGTGTAACGAGTCAACGCTTTAACTGCTTGTCGCTTTTCTTTCATGTCATTGGATTTCAACTTTATTATCCCACGAGGTGGCCAATTAATGAACGACAACGGTGTGTTTTCGAATACATAACTCGTTTAACAATATCCACAACGCGAACCGTGTCAATGTTATGTATTATGTGTATTATGTATGTATTCAAGACGTCTATAATAATATTAATAGTACAGATATTAATAATTATATTATTTGTACCTTTAATGCATGTGTGGTGTAAATGCCATGTGACAAGGTCCCATTTAAAGGTAGCCATCGACGTCACACCTGAAACGCTGCTTAATCCCCAAACATTATCATACTATTTTTAGTTTCATTAGATTTGTGTACACACAAGTCCAAACTGATAGTTGTTTGTTTATTTGTTGTTTAACGCCGCACTCAGCAATATTCCAGCAAAATGAGTCTGGACCAGACAATCCAGTGACTGGCATCATGAGAATCGATCCACGCAATTGGTATGCGATGACATGCATCAACTAAGTCAGCGAGACTGACCACCCGATCCCGTTAGTCGCCTCTTACGACAAGCATAGTCGCCTTTTACGGCAAGCATGGGTTGCTGAAGACCTATTCTACCTCGGATCTTCACGGGTATCAGATTGGCAGTGATAACACAGAAAAAGTAATTCATTATCTGTAACGCAGAAAAAGTAATTCATTATCTGTAACGTATTTGGATTTAGATGTATCTGAGATCGTCCAACCTTTGGGTATAGTTCGATGACAATACTTCTTAAATTTGAAGGAGTTTGAACATGGTTGGTCATTACGAATATTCCATGTCAATAAAACCCTCAGTTTTACTTTGTTTCTATGTTAAAATATTACAAAACAAATGTTTCTATTCCAGTGGACTGAGGAACTATGCCAGAAGGACTCTGACGGTGATGGGCTGACCAATGGTCAAGAGCTAGGAGATCCTGAATGTGTGTGGCATCCCGGTCAGTTCCCTCAGAGGACCAACAACATCACGCATCCAGGTACTGAGATGGTACACTTTATCAGAATGTCCGTTCATCTGACAGTATACATATCTATGTATATGTGGTTTATGTGGTAAATATCTAGGTATTATAATGCGGCGTTAGACAAACCTATTGAATACTGAATACATTTCATTTTATTGTCTGCATATGACTTTGTACCTGCTAATTATTGCCACCCCACGCGTCCCTCGCTTCAGGTATCTGTGACCCCTGGGGGAGTCCTAAATGCACAGCCAAGAACGACTGGGTGTCTTGTACAGCTGGAGAGTTTGTTTGCAACGCCACAAAAGCTCCTGGTACGTTACTAGGATCCTCTGTTTGCTGATCTACAAACACATTTATTCTGTATACCCCTGAATCTCTTTTAACACTCTGAAATCATGTTTCTATTTAATCTGCCATACGATTACATCTTTGTCTGACCAGTGAAGACCAGGGGTGGAACAGACCTTCCGCAACCATTTCGGCATCAGGTGGTGAGGCTCGCTGACTTGGTTGATGCAACCCAATTGCCAACATCGATGCTCATGATGTCAATCACTGGATTGTCTGGTCCAGATTCGATTATTTACAGTACGCCGTCACATAGCTGGAACATTGTTGAGTGCGGCGTTCAACAACATACTAACATCTTATAATAATACATAATATTAACTAGGAGTGAACTCGTACTCGTCGGTTTCCTAAAATTGGGAATCATGTTAGACATGCATCACGTGCGGCTTTTCCCCCACATCATGATCATGCCGACAGCAACTCACTCACTCACTCGTGTTCTCTAGAGGTGAAGAAGTTCACGCTAAGGTTTCCACCGACGCGGGTTCCACCGACCCAGACCAACTACTACTGCATGGGTTTCGACGTCAGCAACTACATCGACATCTCACAGGACTACCACCTGATTGCAACTAAGCCAGAAATCAACAACACCAACGTCATGCACCACAGCATCTTATATGGATGCAACGATGACGGTATGCATCAGATTTTCCATTTATGATGATCGAATATGGACTTCACGGTGTGCCATGAATTCAACCTGGGTCTTAGGCGTGATGGGTGGTCGGATAGCCTACACCTTCCCGAGGCAAGAGAGTTAACTGGCTATAAAAGTCCAGTTTCCACCCTTGCCGAACTAGGCTGGTATTATGGAGTTACATTTTGGCTGGACTAGCGAGTCTATGCATATGAAATCGCGCACCGAAATCGAAATCCGGTTCGTAAACTGTCGTGCAGATGTTCATCGATTGCAGGATTTGCTAAGCATGTGCACCGCCAACTCGTTGTAAGCAGATATTTTCCAAATCTTTTCATGTTTTTAATCAAGGTGCTCACGTGATTTGATGCACTTCGCGATGTAAGACCCGTTTGATCACAATACAGATCTTGATTATCGATCAGATCGTCCTGACTGGGCGCCACCATTTTGTGTGAAACAAACGCAAGTGATACGACAGGTGGAATCTGATTGGTCCATAGGAGATGCTTCGCGGGGGCATATCTGGTAATAGATACTGGTGTCGCTACGATCGAGCCCAGTAATTCCAGTCTAGTTCGGCAAGGGTGGAAACTGGACTTTTATAGCCAGTTAACTCTCTTGCCTCGGGAAGATGGGTAGCCTAGTGGTTAAAGGGTTCGCCCGTCACGCCGAAGACCGGGGTTCAATTTTCCACATCTCAAAACTGTCCATTTGAAATGTACCATGGGACAAGCGTTTTGGAATAAATCAAAGCGACAAAACCCTTTCCATACAATTCTGCGCAAACTACAGAGTCCGGTGTACGAATCCTACTATGTCTTAAACATGTCTTTAAGAATTACTAATAAAAAGTGATGATACCTAATGTTCATATCTTGCCTCACCAGATGTATCCGTCAAAAAACACATGCAAAGGCAAGTATATTCTTCACCTAAAAAAAGAACGTGAAAATATGCTACAAGTCAAAATAATGAAACAATGTATGTAGCGGTAGCCTCAAATTTGAAAATGCCCTCTACATGTCACCATAATTTTGAAAGGTTTACTGTTCCCTTGAATGGTGTCACCTCTTGAGCAAAGTCGTATGACGCTCTTTGAAATCTTTTTAGTAATATAAGAATATTCTCGATTGTCCCTCAAAGATGTGAAATGTAGGCACCAAAGGTTGGTGATGACGGAATATTGTTCTGCATGAAGGTAAGGTTGACGTGAAGCTGAAGTCACACAGTTTTGAGGAGGGTGTTTGTCACTCTGCATCTTTGTGCACAGATCTAAATCTAAAACAGATGATGCGGTGTCATTTGCCTCTTTCAGTTCTGGTTCAAATGGGTAAATCAGTGAAAGGCAATTGCCTATTTTCTTTTCTCAGATCATCGCTATATCCGTAGATGTGTTGACAAATCAGATGTTTTGACATAATTAACGTAAATGTTTATGTATTATGATATAGACAATGTATCATGGAAAACAAACGTCAAACGTAAATGTTTATGTATTGATATACACAATGTACCATGGATAACAAACATCAACTGTAAATGTTTATGTATTATGATATACACAATGTGTCATGGATAACAAACGTCAAACGTAAATATGTATCTATTATGATATACACAATGTATCATGGCTAACAAACATCAACTGTACACAAGGAGGTGATATACATGTAACTGTAAATTAATTCTTTCAAACTTTGAAGTTCCAGGGGACAATTGTCCGGGGAGCATTTGGCATATCATCGACGTTTAATCCCGCTAAAGCTAAAGCTGTTAACTCCATGTTGACAGTTGTGCTGGCTGACCATGCCACGCCCTGTTACATGTCCCAGCAGGGATGTTCGGAGCTCCTCGCAGGCTGGACCCTGGGGCTGGATGGAACGTGTGAATATGAGGAGGCTGGTTACCTTATTGGTCGTAGTGGCAACAGGAAGATGGTCATGCAGGTACAGAGAACGCCTAGTTGGTTTGTTTTTTTATTAAACGCCGCACCAAACAATATTCCAGCTTATTGACGTCAACCTGTAAATAATCGAGTCCAAGTTGTAGTCGTTCTCGTGACTCTCGACTGATTGGGAGAAGAATGCTAAGTGGTTGTTGTTAGCTGATGTTGCAGCGCAACTGATATAAACGTATGTGGTTGCAAATGATACAACTACTAAAATACAGTACCGCCTCCGTGCTCTAGTGGTAGAGCGGAAGGTCCGGGGTTCGATCCCCGGCCACGTCATACCAAAAGGCGTTAAAAGATGGTACTTGTTGTTACCCTGTCTGGCGCTCGGCATTAAGGGGCTAAAACAAGGACTGGTCGGCTCGGAGTCAGTATACTGAGTGGGGTATTCATGTTAAACTGCGGCATGGTATCTCAGTGAGCTAGCACTATAAATCGGCATCAGTCCGGACTGGTACAAGCAGCCACACAAACACACACACACACACATACACACACACACACACACACACACACACACACACACACACACACACACACACACGTGCATGCACGTCGCTATATAAGTGCAATAATCTTGGACGCGACGTTAAACCCAATTTCACCTCACATCACCTCACTAAAATACATTACTGATTTTGTTATTATTACTTGTATGTGGTAGTAGAGGATATCATTTTATATATCTATAAAATATCTTGCTGGTGTATCCCACTCACTCAACATATTGATTAATGTGCCTGGAATAAAACACCAAATTTTGTGATATTCCCGTTTTACAAATGTGAAAATGATGCACTGAGTAGGATAAAAGAAAGTTATTTTATTAATACTTTCAAACCAAAATTACATGGCTCCAAATAATTGAATTATTTGATACAATTATTGCACATTTTACTGCCACTACAATACTTATTTCTGTATGCATCGTACGCCTGCCCCACACAATGTTATGCGACTTATTGTGACGTCACAAAGTTAGGTTGCACTATGACGTCATACTATGTTAGAGAAAGCAATGTGACGTAAAAACAGCGTTACGGTATAACTGTGCTAACATTCGTGAAACCGTTTGAGTAAATTATACATCTCATCTTTGGACTTTTTTTGTGTGTATATATGTATAGGAACAATGCTTTAATAAATAAATCACTGGTACATAATGTTATTTATGTTACAGTCAATGTCTATATTCAGACAATCTGTATATTGACTGGATAATTCAGTTAATCTGTATAGTGACTCATTCACTCGGGCAATGTACATATTAACTGAAATTTTCAGTCGAAAATACATATTGCCTGAAAAATGAATTTTAGACAGCTTGACTGAAATTATTAAGACTCCTTAATTTAATCTCCTTATTTTAATTTTGATCTATTTTGATCCTTACGAAGATCCAAGTAACTTCTGTAAGTAAATAAAAATGTTTCCACAATGAATTGATTGGTTCTTCAAACATGAAGGAATATTAGAGTCCTTTTTTATGTTACTTATCTTTATTAGCATAGTATGCATTTCAACTCCAGAACATACAGAATATATTGTGAACAAGTATATGGCTTAGTTTATGCATTTGTTTCATGTGAACAATTATATAAACAGTGTAAATTTTAACAGTTCTTGTTGTCGAATGTTAAACTGGTTAATAAACCAATTACATCATAAGTTGTAAAGCATTTCAAGTTAGCACACAAGGAAATCAACCTAGCTGGGCAATCTCATTAAAATCAGACCTTAATTCTCGCTACCGCTAAACAAAGATCTGAGGACATCCCATTAGGAGTCACGTCAGAACGACCTTTCATCCGACCAATCAGTGCGTCGCTTACCAGATTATGAAAGTGACAGTCGGAATGTGATTATTAATCATGCAATCTCTAAAACTTTAACACGGGGTATTCCGAACGATAGTTACGGGTTTAACGACTGAAACCTTACAATCTAGACCATATATTAGCCATTCCAGAATGTTTTTTGTTCAGGTTTCAAATTTGTAATAGAGAATTTGTCAAAATATGTTTCGAAGCGGAGTCGGGAATTTGAAATTTGTGCCGTAAAGCACGAGAAAGCTGCCTTCTGATTGGTCATTCCATTGGTCGGTCAAAGTTCGCGCAAGGTCGGTCTGACGTGACCCGTAATGGGATGTCCTCAGATCTTTGTTTAACGGTAGCGAGAACTAAGATCTGATTTTAATGAGATTGCCTAGGTGGGGCAAGTGTTGTTGGCGCTACGAGAGTCATCCTGTGTTTGTGAAATTGTGAGTCATGTGTAGACGAAAGTGTAGTAGGGAGCTGTCACTGGTGATAGTGATAGTATAGATCTGCAAACGGAATAACGCTGTGAGGAGCTTGGTACACAAGATGACGATACATGTTCAGTTCCTAGTTATCTCCCTTGCGATATTCTAAAATTCAAACCATTTTTATTCTTTTAACCATTTTCTAGTTTCACTGGACAAACCCTGAGTTGAGGAGTGACTACGTTGACAACTCTGGTATGACGTTATATTACACACCCAAGCTGAGACGGTACAATGCTGGGAAAATACTGACCGGACAGCTGTATCTGGAGATCCCGCCTGGGGCCGAGCGGGCCACGTTCGAGTCTACATGCACAGGAGAGTGCACCAACAAACTGATGAATGGCGACATCCACATAACGTCTGGTCTCAGCCATATGCATTACCTAGGTAGGACATCCCATATTTCTATACATTTCCGAAAGTCAAAATATGAGTATGTGCATCTTCCCGAGGCAAGAGAGTTAACTGACTTTAAAAGTCCAGTTTCCACCCTTGCCGAACTAGGCTGGAATTCCTGGGCTCGATCGTAGCGCCACCAGTGGTTGTTACGAGTTAAGTCCCTTCTATGCCTCTCCTATGGACCAATCAGATTCCACCTCTCGTATCACTTATGCAGCTTTAACTGTGTTGGAACAGAATACCACTTTATATTTATCTGTACTGTGTTTGATAACTTTAAACAAACTTTAAATAACTCCATCCCAACTATCCCAACTTCAACCTCCTTTTATCATAGTAAGATCCTAACACTGTAGATAATATAGCCAAATATATTAATAATTCTCAGGGAGAAACGTATTATCCAATGTAACAACTTGTCTTTGTTATTAATTTCAGTACACAGAGGCCTGTGGCCTATACGTATTGAATAAAACAGTTGAATGTCAATCACTGGATTGTCGATTATTTACAGACCGCCGTCATATAGATGGAATATTGCTGATTTTGGCGTTAAACAACACAAAAAAACAAAACAAAAAACATCCTTTTGCAATAATTAAGACCCGTGGAGATTCCGGGTAAGAATATAGGGTTCTGGCAACCTGTGGTTGTCGTTAGACTCAACTGAATGGATAATGGTGGTCAGGCTCGCTGTCTTGGTTGATTGCATGTCATCGTATCCCAATTTCGCCATTTGATGTTCTTGAGGTCAATCACTGAAAGTCTGGTTCAGACTCGATTATTTTCAGACCGCCGTCTTATAGCTGCTGGAATATCGCTGAATCCGGCGTCAAACAACAAACAAACAAACAAAGAAACACAATTAGTGTTGTTCACTTTAGAACTACCCTATAGATATAAATTGTCAACTTCTCTGGCGTGTGCTTGTGCGATGAAAAAGGACACGTTTATATGGATTAACAAACGTTGAAACGTCATCTCAATTGTATGAAAGAAGTTGTTTCTCCATCTAAACTTATCATTGGTCAGCATTGGTCAAGAAATATACAAGTATTACTTTTTAACTCAGATTGGTCGATATCACTCGAGGAAACTAACATAGAAAATGTGTTCTCCGGTTGAGGTTATGAATTGTCAGTTACTCGACAATGGCGATGGATATCAATATCAATTCACAGGACATATACATTCCTTCATTCCGAGTTGAAAGTAAGTCATTAAAATTATATATATATATATATATATATATATATATATATATATATATATATATATATTGCCCGTTGTCTTCATTAGTAAAATGTAAATATAAGTTGAAAAACGTATAATCTAAGTGAATCTTACTGCATTAATGTCCGTGATACCATGCCCATATATACTTATTATTCATGTCAGTACATCTTGCGTGAGCAGTAATGGAGGCAAGCATGGCGACAATGCAACGTTGTTGGTTTCGCTATAGTATTTAAAACTGTTTTTCTTTAGGATTCAACGAGCAGGTTGAGTTATACCACCAAGGTGAAAGGACTCACATCATCAACGACCCACACTATTCCTATGACAATCCGCAAACTCACAGGTGTGTTTGCTTAATTATTGTTTAACGCCACCCCTTAGAAATATCCCAGCTACAATAAACTGTGGTTATGATGGACTCAAAGGGATCCTTAATTCTAGTTCGTTATAACCACAGTTCGTTATAAGCATGTATACAGCAAATATACAGCAAATTGTCAGGACCAAACAGTTCCTTATATCCGTCAGTTCGTTACAAGCGTGTTGGTTATAAACGTAATTCACTGTATATGACAAAGATCTGTGAATAATCGATTCTGACAGAACATCCAAACACATCCAAACTGAGCATAATGACCATAAACGGCCTGTGTATGCATGAAAGAAATCATGCATATTACGGCATATTCATGGGAAGGTGGAGTAGCCTAATCAAAGAGTTCGCCTGTCGCGCCAAATGCCCGGTTTCGCTTCCCCACATGGTACAATGTGTTGAACCCATTTGTGATGTTCCGTCATATTGCTTAAATATTGCTGAAAGCGGCGTAAAACCATATTTAATCAGTCCCTAACAAGGGAAACGCGTGGGCTTGTTGTCTCAGGTGCCGCATCTCGCTATGCAGAATTGCGTGCCTTTGTCATGCCGGTATACATTGGTCGGGGAAATAATTTCATTCATAATACTGAAAGTGTCGACACCATGTTCATACAAGCGTTGTTCATCCAAGTTGTATTCGTCTACGACCTGCGTCATGAAATACTGTTTAAAGACGGGTTAAGTCAACTCACTTACTAGTTATTCGTTACCAACAAATTCAAACAGTTAGACATTGCCTTAAATATTGCTTTATGTGAATGTCAGATTCACGAAAAGAGATAATTAAAATACCGTACTTTATCAATCGGAAATAAAGCAGAAATTTTGAATTCGTTGAGCCCAACTCAAAGTAAGTCACCCCATGGAGAGTAATGAACGCGATAAGTACGAGGTTATATAACGCCCGGCGGACGCGTGATAAACGAGTCAGCCACTGATAAAGAACACGTGACGGACGCGTTACTTACGGTTGACTCCCGCGTACCGTCGCGCGAGGTGCCCTGTAAGGAAGTGCTAAATATGTATGTATCATGTATATATGCAGGTATTCCAACCAAATACAAATGAAACCGGGAGACAGCTTGAAGACAACATGCGTCTACAGATCTGTGTCCAAGACCCGCACGACAATGTACGGAGAAGGTTCTTACGATGAGATGTGTTTTGCTATATTGTCCTTCTTTCCTAAGGAAAACATGACAGATAATTGCTACAATTGGAAGCAATTCGACCTCTGTAAGTTCAAGAACAAAGATCGTTTTATTGACGGATGTAACTTGAAGATGTTCCTCGACTTAACTAGTTCAGAGATGCGTCAAATGGTTAATGAAGTAAGTAGGAAATGTTATTGTTTCACATAAGAAAGTAATAAATGTTCAAAAGAGAGATTCCACATGGTACAGTGCACTAGTGGAAAAAAAATCACTTTTTTAAAAAGTGATCTCATAAAAATGTGTTGGACGGTGAAACAAAAGAACACTAAATACCCTTTTCAACGAAAAGTGTTACTTTAATATGAAAATTAGATAAACAAGTTAACAGACCTTGGGAAACAGGACTCTTTGCTATATATAAAAATGATTTCATAAAATTACGAAATTGAGGATCGGCAAATCATTAAATGTCCTCTTATGGAGGTTCGTACCTTGTCCCAGGTGATGAGCAGCTGCAACCACTACGGCCCGTGCAGACCGGAATGCCCAGCTGTTATTGGCCGACTCAACAAACATCCTTGTCTGCAAGGCCAACTGGGGGAGTTCCTGCTCACACGTTTCGCTGAAAGTCGTAATTCTGATAAGATCAAATTTGTGCATGCGCTGCGGTCATGTGACCGTCAAGCAAATCCCACAGAAATGAAAAATACTATGCCTTCAGGTGCAGCCTCTTCCGCTGTCTCTGGCATGGTTGTAGCATTCGTGGCAACCCTTGGTCTGTAAGTCGGCCCTGACTCTCGAGGGGGAGCAGCAATCTGAAGATGACCTTTTGCATACTTCACGTGCATGAAAAAGACTAATGCAAACTACATCTGATGTACGTTAATAGTTCGTTCTGAAATGGACAAATAAATAGTTTCTCATTCACATTTCATATGTTGTAATAATCCGTTTATGTATTACATTGACATAAATGAATTCAAAACGCCTGAAACAGAATATTAAACAATAACATATACCAGTACAAGCAGTAGAAATAATAGGAATTATGTGATATTCGCCGACACCTTCTGCCAACATTTTGATACGTCCAGTTCTCTTTTTCTATTGATGGCAGTGTCCAATGTTAAGATAAGGTGATCATATGTTTAAAAATGGCGGATGTTCTCATACTGGTGTGGAAGTTCACGAAGATCAGAAACCAAACAGACCAAAAATGAAACACTGACCTCTTCTTCACAAACAACACAACATGCTATCTCATCTTGTGACCTGCAAAGGTTGACATTGTCACTCGTGACATCAATCGTGTCAGATCAGACGTTGACATAAACGTTTTATTTGACAGGAAAAGACAATTATCCTTGATATATCTCATGTATGACAGGTTGAAGAGGTCAGCAGAAAAGCCCATAATGTAGGCACAGCAAAAAAAATGCAGTTTCCGGTATCCGGATACCTGCCGGATACCACCGGACACTTACCCAAAACGCGTCCGGGTATCCGGTGGCAGATACCTTGCCGGATACCAGATCCGTGGTATCCGGCATGGACACCTCACCTGAAAGTATGCCACCTGGAATCCGGGTATCCGGCACCGGATACCTCACCGGATACCTCAATCTGGGTGTCCAAGGATCCGCACCGGATACCAAGAATCCGGCACCGGATACCTCATTCTGAGTTTCCAAAAACATGTCACAATTTGGGGGTGCATTTTGTTCAATTAAGTGTGAAACACCTAAATATATATTGGAAACTAACCATGAAAATTGAACATTGCTGAAGGTATCCGGCAGGTATCCGGCAGGTATCCGGATGCAATTTTTCGAGATGTCTTATTTCTGGTAAATAATGTTAGCCTGGGCATATCAGATAGCTGTAGTAATATTCTGTGTCATTTTAGTTGTAAATATCCCCTTAAAGTTGAGATCTATGGGCATGTACTTTTGGAGAAGACAGTTTTTTTCAATTTCATCTATAATTCTTTTTAGATGTTAAGCTGTTTAATGAACAAACATCAGTTCTAATACATGTATGATGATATCCTTAAATTTCATGTTCAGACTTCCAGATTATTCTGAGTGAAAGTATAAACTCTTCGACTGTGTGCTCACTTGGGCCTTTGGTCCTAGTGAGATGATAATATGAATATTTGTAAAGGTACAAATACTTGTTATGAGCATACCAGCTTCATTTAAGTTTGAAACACAATATGCCTCACTCTGAGGGTGACATGTACCAGATTTCATCACACTACAGAGAGCTGTTCCTCAGTTACTGTGAACATTTTTACTGAAAGACATTGAAAGCTAAATTGACCTTCAATATCAGTTGCGACTATTTCAAAAACAATTGTAAAGTGCTTCATTCAGTGTAATATTGACAAACATATGACAATGATATACAACTATGTGTATAAGAGTTATTTAGACTTCTGCGGGAAAAGGCACATTAGAGAACAAGAGTCATCAGAAAGATGACATATCCCCCCGGCAGCTGTCTGTAAAGTAACCACTAGTGCATTTCTGTATGTAATGAGTCAACAGTTGAATGTTCTTTAAGAAGCATACATTGTTTACCCACAAAAGATCCACCATGGTCACATCCATATGAATGCCAAGTTTCGATCAAATACATTGAATGTTTTTCTAATTCTGCCCCAGAAATGAACCTCACCCCCAATTGAGTCTATGTCCAACTTGATTCCATTAAAAAAAAATAAAAAATAAAAATTAGAAAAATCCCAAAATTTGAAAGGCACCACATCAGTATGTGCATGATAGCTTTGCCAAGTTTCGATCAAATACACTGAATGGTTTTCGAATTCTGCCCCGGAAACGAACCCCATCCCCAATTGAGTCTATGTCCAACTTCATTCCATAAAAATTTAAAAAAATAAAAATTAGAAAAATCCCAAAATATCAAAAGGCACCACTTCAGTATGTGCCTGATAAGAGTTGCCAAGTTTCGATCAAATACACTGAATGGTTTTCGAATTCTGCCCCGGAAACGAACCCCATCCCCAATTGAGTCTATGTCCAACTTCATTCCATAAAAAAAATTAAAAATAAAAATTAGAAAAATCCCAAAATATCAAAAGGCACCACTTCAGTATGTGCCTGATAAGAGTTGCCAAGTTTCGATCAAATACACTGAATGGTTTGGGAATCCTGCCCCGGAAAAGGAAATGATTACGGACGGACAGACGGACAGACAGGCTGATCACTATATCCCCCGTATTATATGCCGGGGGATAAAAAGTAAGTGTATGACCTTTTGCCAACTTCTATCCCTGCCCTAAGGAAGAGTTTGGCCATTAACAATTTTTTTGTCTGGCTGTGACATTGACCTTTGACATAGCAGATCAATGTGTTATTCCAAAGATGTCCAAGCAATGCATGGTTTTATACGATAACTGTGGCTATCAAACTGAGGCAAAATATTGGAAAATCCCCATTTACACAGCTGGCTAAAGAAACAAACAACAAACAAATTATCAATTTCTTTTATTTATATGCATATATCACACATTGAACAGTGTTCATATAATGGTGCCTGATGCAGTATGCACTTTCCTCCTATTCTTCAATACTCATAACAGAGCGGGATAACTGTTCGCTTGAAAGCATCAGCAGACCATGCTCACCAGTTCAGAGTTACTTGCCCTCAAACATCCTTTTCCTTCTATATTGCCATGGAAAAACAGGAACCAGGATGAGGGGAGGCCAGATGGGCTCTATCCCTGTTGCATTGTGTTAGTAGAATTGTGAACATTCTATTTGGTGTTTGGGTCCACATTTATAGACAAGTAGTCGCAAACATCATTCCTTTCAAGTGATTACCACATGGCCAAAGACAATAATTTCTTCAACGTCCTTGAAGGATCCCACTCCGACTTGGCATTGGTTGGTCTTCTCACATTTGCCTGACCACCCTTTGTGAGTGTGTCCCAGTGTCAATTGGCATATAACTTCTCGGTAGGCTCCCATTGAAATAACAGGACTCTCCTCATCGCTGTCTGCCAATCACTTCGGATATCTGGAAGGGTCCTTCCAGACTGTCAACCTGTCATCCGGGTATCTCAAGCTGGACTTCAGTTTCTGCAAAATTATGTATAAAGATTGTAGCAAAAGAAAACAATTGTTGCAACATGTACTTACAGATAAAAGGCAGCAAATTCACTTAATTTATCATCTTTGAGTTTTGTTATATACCAAACATTTGAGATATATATTGTTCCATGCTGATGAGTTGAAACAATCATTAACTGACATCTCTTAAAAATGTTCCTAGCAACCTATGCTTGCCATACAAGCCAAAGTAATAGATGAGGTAGCAAGTGGGCTCATTGAAAGCTCGTAATCGTACCCAATAACATGGGATGTTGTCCATAACAGTCATCATTGGTGCGTCTGGATCGAGCTCATAACATTAATCTCTGGTTTGTCTAGTTGAGATTTGAGATTTGATTAATTTATAATCCTTGTCATTTAGCCGAACTATTGCTGGATGTGGTGTTAAATGAGTGAATTGGGTTTAACGCCTCTTTGAACAGTATTCCAGTTATATCACGGCATGTAAGCTTGATGTGGGAAGAAAGCCCGAAGTGATGCAGGTCTTACATGTTTACCACTTTGATGAAACCCACAAGCAAGTGTATGATGCTACCCTTGATTCAAACCCACGACCATCGGTTTCTGTCAAGCCCAAGAGATGCAACTATGCACAGCAAGTTGTAGTGCCTTTGATAATTAGGCCATCCATGCCAACAGGTGATAAAGAACAAGCAAACTGAAGAAATATTTGCAGAATAGCTACATGAACATGATGAACCAAACAGAATAATTTCAAATATTTACCACTCACTGCTACTCTTCTCTTGTTCCTCATTGCTTCCCTTTTTCCATTGATGCTGTGCAGATGACTGACTCATTCATTCATCCAGACATTCTGCAAACATAAGTAGCATTCACATTAGAGAAATGTCCAAACTGTACATGCTGTACATTGAATTCAATTGAAAAGGCCCCAGTTGAGTTTCCAACTTAGAACTGTCCTTATTAAAATATTTCATCCCAAACATTCAGAGATAAAACATAACCCCATATTTAACAACTGTCAAACAATTATTTGACAACAAAGCCAGGGTCATTCAACATACACTTTACATAAGGAATCACTTGTTGCAAAAAAGATCCTCGCCAAGGTCAGAGTCATTCCATGAAATATTGAATGATTAAGTTATGAAGCTTATACAAAACAAGGACATAACAGTGTAATTATAACAATATCCTAAGCGTAAAAAAAATAAAGTCTTTGGTGGCCATTATTGTAAATTATAATCTGTATTAGCATCCCACGAAAGTTAAGAGTTAATAATCGTTCCTAGATCTTGGTACTTTTCTTCATTATCTATAAAAAAGCGGATCTAATTTGGATCATCTTGTTTTGACCACAAATCCATTACGCCTCTTATGCTAACAAACAGTTGACCATAATACTAAAAAAAGGACCCTTGGCGTTTACGGTAAAGTATGTAGAGCAGGAAAATATCTACATCAATCCGTTCCATAAGATCTCTGCACAGAAATCATAAGGCCTCGAAGCCCTGCTACGTACCTGGCAATGCCAATCGCCTTTCCAAATACTGTTGACTTCCGCGTTGTGGATGGCTGAGAGGAACTTCGGCCGGCATTTCCGTGGTGGAGGTGAATGAGAACAATGTATCGATACACGAGGTAAGCTTATCGTAATCAAGAATCACAGTGTATATCGATACACGAAGTTTGTTTACATCCATGTTCTAACATGGCGCCCTGGACCGTAGGGGAATATGGGTAAAATGGCTTGTTCCGGGTTAACACTAAGCTGGGCCCCGTCTCTAATATCACATTATTGTTTGGCGCAAGTTGACGACGCGCATAGGGAG